TAAAAATAAAGTGCGAAATATTATAACTTTTCCTTTAAATGCGAGATAGGTAGTATTTCCTCGATAACGAAAAAAGTTTGATTTTTGCAGGTTTTAGAAATTGTCCGTTCTCCTTTTCGGAAAATCAATTCATTAATTAAGTTTTTAATTGCATTATTGTCCAAACATCATAATTTCACAAATTTTTATCCTTTTTGGCTTTTTTTTTATTTTGACGTCCGTTGTTTTTTATCTGATGTGTTTAACAACCAAATTTATCACCAATCCGGTATGGTCTAGTGGCTAGGATACCTGGCTTTCACCCAGGAGGCTCGGGTTCGATTCCCGGTACCGGAATAAAATTTTGTTTTTTTTTCAGAACGATAATATTAATTTTTTATTATTAAAATGTCTAAGTAAAATCTTTTTACAGCAATATTTTTGGTACATATCGTGAATAAATATATTTTTATATGTAAAATAGTCTAATTAGCTTCAAATTAAAATGGAATATTGTTTAGATTCAGTACTATCGATAAACGTTGAAAAACCAAACAAACATGAAAAACTCTTTTTCCCAGAAGGGATAGGTAAACTATTTCATTATTACGTTATTAAAGTATAGTTTTAAGGATTACTGCCTGAAAATTAAACTGAAGTTAGATCCAGAGAGTGGGGCTATAATATATTATGTCATTTTCTCAAAATCTGTAGTCATATTTTTTTATAAAACCAAAAAAAAGTGGAAAAAATAAACTTTGATGTAGTTGTATTGTGACTTGTGAGTCAATAAGTATTAGAAAAATATTAAAATTTGTATTTATATTAAAATTACAATGTATGGTATTAACAACGACAACAAAATATTATTATAGACAGGCGATCAACACTAATCGTATTTACCCCTAATACTAAAAAGGAAAAATACAAGTTTAAGTACAATAATCATTATTTTTATTACAATGGTATTATCATTTATTGTATATCGACAATCGAAGCATTTATATTTTGAAAGTGATTTTATTACTTTCAGTTTCAGTTATAATAATAATTCTTGCAGACCTGTGACCTTTTCCACTAAGCTATTTTTTTTTCTTACCTTACAAAAAATATTTGCACTCAAAAATAAATAAACAAAGTATAAAAATAACATTTAGTGACTAACAGAAAAAATGTCAACGGCACGTAGTGTTCCCAAGCGGTCACCCATCTAAGTACTAACTACGCCCGACGTTGCTTAACTTCAGTGATCGGACGAGAACTGGTGTATTCAACGTGGTATGGTCGTTGACGAACGAAATCGTAGTTTTTAATGGATTCAAACCCCATTTGATTCTTATATTTTAGAGATGATCAGAATTAAAAAAAAATAAACATCAATGTAAAATTAATAGTCAAATGTTATCCGAAATGTTCCGTGTTCGTCTACTGACTACAACCATTTACAACTGCATAAATAAACTAAAAAATAACTATCGACTCTTGGCTTTGTATTAGCGCCATTCCGATTAAAAACGCTTTTCACAATCATTTTTTACCTCTATTCTAACTGTGCGTGGGCCGAAAAGGATTAAAAAACACACTAAAGGGTTTACAGGACAAAAACGTTTTATTGAATTACTTTTTACCGTATTTTTTTAAATTCATTATTGATAGATTGAATTTATAATTGAATACATTTATATTCTGTAATATATACTATACCTATATAGGTACTACAAATGTTATGGTCTGATACATTTTAATCCGACTTGATTAATTCAATTATTATACACATTACACCTACTGCCTACATTACTTTTTTAAAAAACTGTTACAACTTGTTATTCGTTAATATTAAGAAGTCTTATTCATTTTTAATTAAAAATTATACCATACAAAAAATCACACATTGTATATCTAGTTAAATAAATTTAGAAATAATTGTATAATATATCATCAGACGGTAATAGTTAATCCTGGATTAATCGTATAATTTGTTCAAGTACCTACAAGACATTTGAAGCACTGACCTTTTTTTAGCTAATATTTTTATGTTAAAATGAGAGCCCGGATTTGTGTACAGTACTGGGGCTAGAAATTAAATGCGAGGGCCTGATTCCAACCAACCCAAAAATGGAAATAATTAAAAAATATGTGATAATAATTTAATTATTTTTTAATAATAAAATGCTTGTAGAATTTTAATTGAAAACATTAAACGCATAGAACGAATGTATGAAAAACAATATTAAAGGAAAATGTGAAATAATGCACACATTATTATTTATTATCCCATTGCGTAACGTAGGAAGTATAAATTATAAAATATAGTTGAAACATGTACCTATATATAAAAATTGAGCCAGTTGTTAAGAAATCGTAATTTTTTAATAAAATCATTTAATTAGAAAAGGTAGGTAAATTTGTTTTGCTCCCAGAACCATGATAACTTTTTAACAGCTAAACCGATGTCCAATTTTTATAGTTTAATTATCAGAAATTTATCATCACCCATCAGTACCACTTTAATAGGCCAAAGTCAAAAATGTTACCTATGAAAACCTAAAAAAACTACCTTAAAGTTTACATAGTCTTCAGGTAAAATAATTATGTAATACAATTTCATTTTCAAGTAAGAAGTTACCGAACAGCATTTTATAGGTACTAACCGTCTAGATCTTAGATCTACTACGTATATTGTATAGTTATTTATTGTTTGTACATCTGACAGAAAATTGGTAAAACCTACTATTGTAGGTTATGTGCAGTTTATTTTTATTAACTTAATAAAACAACAAAATTTAACAAGGAAAAAAATCGTATCCTGTCAGATTTATACTGAGTGACTACGTGTACACTATATAGGTTATGCAATAATGATTCCATAGAAATTGAGCCCAAACAAACAAAAACACGGCCAATGGCAACATAAACATCTAAGTCGGTAATCTAGTAGGTACCCAAGTCATTATTATTATTAAGTAGCCGACTTGCACAAAAATTATATGCTATTTACCTTGACATATTTATCTTTGATCTACGTAACGAGGTACTTTAAACGAGGAAGGCATAATATTAAAAACATAAGGTAGGTCGTAAATGTGCGACACGGAAGAGGTTAAAAAATATACATAATAATATAAACAATAAGTATATACCCACACTGAGCCAAAAATACACGTCGGTTTTGTACAACTTTTAAAAATTCCGAGATAAAATTATATCACCAAAGTAGTAAAAATATCATGATGAGACTTGAGAATGATAAAATCATAAAAATATGCAAAATCATTGTTTTCGTTTTCTTATTTTAATAATATTACGTTTTTGTTTTTCAGCAATCATCTTCGAGGTTAACTGTACTATACTAAATACGCCTTGATTTATTCCAGAAATTATGGTACTGTAAGATATTATTTATAATATCTAAAATTATAATTTTTTACATCTAGTGACATGTAATTTGGACATACTGTATTTCTTGTCAAATTATATAACACCTAAATAATATGGTTACGGCTGTGCCATGGGCTAGTTTGAAGGTTAAGTTGGGGGATGAGTAGAAGGAAGTATAATTTCAAACTTAACTCAAACGTAGTAAAAATAATGTTTAATACATTTAGTGAAATCAGATGATTCCAACGTATATTTTTGTACGAGTATACATATTTTGTAGACTCGTAACGGTATTTTTTTTCAAACTGGTAATTTTGTTTAGTGCAACAAAGTAGAAATCTAGGTCAGGTAGGAATAGGTTTTTTATAGAATCACTCGAACATATTACTAAAATAAAAGGCAATACCTAATCAATTATTTTTCGATGTAATTTTTTTATTTAGGCGGAATGTTTTAATATTACCTACCTACATTTATCCACGCGAACTACACCGCAGAGAATTAAACTCATTTTAGCAATCAAAGTTATAGTGTTGCTCTTACCTTAAAAAATAATTGTTAAAAACTAGGTACCGTTAACGTTGTTTTTATTGCACCATTTCTTTAATTGATTAAATTAATTTATATTTAAAACTTTAACGTCCATATTATGTGAATAATTAGACTTATCCGTTTGCGGTTTGGGTAAAATTCGTAAAAAACATGTAAAATAATTATTGTACTTAAAAAAAGTAGGTAAAAAATTAAGACCCAACAGCAGGTAAACAGATAGCTTGAACCGGGTACCTGTTAACGTGGTTACTGGTTATTAACCGGTATTGGTACTATAATGTAACTACATATTAAGTAAATAATGAAAATGTTTTAAAAATTGTAAAAAAATTAAATTAAATAGTTTAAACCTTCCAAAAAATATCATTAATATTTCGTTTGGTACAAATAATTTAAAACATGTTCTCAATGTAATCTAAATAAAAACCTAAAATAAACTGAAACGTTCAAACGATGCATTATTCAATTTAAAAATATTTTTGATGAATGATGGTTGACAAAACATGATCACCCCTTCGTTTAATTGAAAACTCTACTTAATACCAATTAAAAATACATTAACGTGTAGCTGTAACCTGTAACCTCTTCAAGTCCACCCGACAAACCTTTCAAAATTATATTTAAAAAGTCGATCCAAACATTGTTACTATTAGCAACTCGCCGACAACAATGTAGTAATAACACTACAATAGAAGACATTTTTTTGTATTATAACAATACATAATATAGTCATACCCGTTTAAACTGGCACCCGTGTTTGAAAACTCCTTTTGACAATAATATTATTATTCATTAAAAACCCGAAATATGCGAATAGCAGGTGATTATTTAAACGATTATTATAGTTAATATAGGTAAATTTACAAAGAAAATATATTACAAATATCAACATACATACTAAGTATGTCTTTGGTAATAAAACTAATAATTAACTGTACCATTGTTTTGTAAGTACAACCGTATATCTATGTTATAATTTATAACTAATACTAAGCACATTTAAGTATATAATATTACATGTATTACAATATTGACAATTTTACATTTCTTATAAAGAAACAAATTGTTATAAAAATAAAATAGTCAACTTTGTGTATAAAAATGATAACTTTAATTAGTTTAATAGATAAACTTAAAATGAGTTTTACTTTTATAGAAAAATTGTGATAAATTTATTGAAATAAGAATAACACTAATAACTGAACACTTTTTGGAAACGTCAAAATTAAAACTTAAAACTTCTCTGCAATGCCTTTAAAATAACTACTCAGTTAAATTATTTCGCAAATTAAGTAGAATGATGAGCTTTTAAATGTCTGAGCAAACCACATCTTTGTACATAACCGATTTGACACTCTTTGCAAGAAAACGGTTTATTCATACCACTGGAGTGGTATTCTTTGTGACAAATTAATTGCTGATGATTTTCGTATACTCTGAAACAAATATCACACGTGTACTTTTTAGCAGTCACATCGGGCTTGGAACAATGAATTTCTAAAATGTGTAATCCCAACGCTGTGTTCTCATTAAACTTCTTTCCACAATCTTTACACTCGTACGTCTCCTCCGCAGACATATGCGTCTTTTTGTGATTGACCAGAGATAATTTATAGATAAATATTTTTCCACAAACGTCACAACTGAGTTTTGTGTTAGCCCTGCCACTAACGTTTGCGTTCTCACGTTGTTTCCAATTTTTAAATTTTCTCAATACTTCTTGAACTTTGTTCGGCGGTTTTTTATTATTATCATTACTGTTGTTACTAACGTTTTTATTTCTATTGTTGTTCATCAGCAATGAATGTACGTTTTGTTGATGTTTTCTCAAACTTTTGACATGTGCAAAGGTCCCGTCGCATAAATTACAATAAACTCGATCTGCGGTCTCCTTGTCCTCTCCATCTGTTTGATCAGTTGCTGTCTTGTCGACACTGCTAGTTGCAGGCATTTTTCCAGACAATTTAGATATAATGTCGGGCGCGTTAGAATGACGACGGCATTGTTTGCTTTTTAGTAAGTGTACGTGCCAGAACCCTCTTTTTTTATATTCTTTTTTACAACAGCGACACTTGTAAATCAACATAACTTTGTCAAGGTCATTGTAAATCTTGTTTTTGTAATGGATGTCAAGATGTCTGATCCAATTGTGCTTTAAAGTAAATGTCCTATTATCGCAGAAGCAACATTTGTAAGATTCACAGTCGTTAATATGAGTCACCCTGTGGCTAAATAATATTTTCGGACTGCAAAATTTCTTGTCGCAAATGTCACAACCAAACCACAATGAACGCGTTGGATGTAGTGTTTCTTGCTTGGTCGTAACACTACGAGAATGATCGTTTGTAGAGTTTTTTAATTTTGACACTTTGTCAGTACTACCTTGCTTTGCATGTGAATTTTTAGTGTGGACCAATTCGTGGCGACCTTGATTGCCTCTGTTTTTAAACCTCAAGTCACAGTATTGGCATTTATAAGGTCTATCGTTTGAGTGGGCTAACATGTGCCTTTGTAGTAGATTGGCAGAGCCAAAATATTTGTCACATATTGAACATCTTTCCTTTGACAATTTATTACTCGATGTTTTTGTTTCACTGTCAGATAAAACTGAATATTCCTCTTTGATTATGGATATGTTTAGTTTTGTGTTATTAATGGCTACACCTCTTTTTGTCGAGAGTTTATTGTCCAAGTTAGGAGTACTGATATTGGTATAAGATTTTTCATGATTGGTGCAATCACGTTTCATATTTCTAGTCAATAGCGGTACATTTGAAACTGTATTTTTATTTTGACCGACAGTATCCATGGATTCAGACGTAGTTCCTTCATGTTTCAACGCTAGAGTTTTGTGCTTAGTGATTTTTGATAGTTTATGAAAGTGTCTTCTATGATTGGCATAAATAAATCTATTCTTAAAAACCTTGTTACACACATCGCATAAAACAGAATTTTTAGAAACTGGACAACTTGTAGGGCTTGCTGGTGGTGGCGATGGTGGTGATGGTCGTGGTGGCGGTGATGGTTTAGGATCAGTCATTGATAAACGTTCGTGATATCGTAAATGATCTTTCAACTGCTTAGTCGTCTCGTATTGCTTATTACACACGTAACATTCTAATACTTTTGGCTTTAGATATTCTTCATGTGTTGGCAAATGCATAGCTAAACCATGCTTATTGAAAAACGTTTCCGTACAAAGATTACAAGCGAATTTAAAATATTTTGTCGAATCAGTTTCCGACTTAATGGACACAAATGAAGTGTTTTCTTCGGTTTTAACGTGTGTCTGATTGAACAAACCATCGATCACCAAGTAATTGCAATTACTTTCAATTTCTTCACATTCTAATTTGATTTTTTTACTCAAATCAGCAGCAACCATATTATCGGTGTCTACTTCTGTCGATTTATTAATAATTTCCGAGTATAAATTCTGACTGCTGTTTACATTGTTAGAACACACACTTGCCTGTTTTTCTTTGTTGTCGTTTCCATTTGGTATTTCATCATCGTCGCAGACTTTATTCAATAATTCACAATGGGATAAATTTTGATTGTGTTGTGATATTTTGTTTTGATCCGAAACATTTTTATGGTAAATTTTTATGTGCTTCAGCAAATTGCGTCTTAATGTAAACAATTGTTTACAAAACTTACACTGATATTGTTTTAACGAGTTGTTAGCCACCTTGAACTTTTTCCACATATTCTGGCTTTTGTTCGTGCAGTGTTTAACGTGACAATTAAAATTATTTTTATTGCTGAATTCACAACCGCAATGTTCACATTTGAAGAGTACTTTTGAGTTATGCATTTGTTGCATGTGATTGAAAAGATGATTACTGGAGAAAAAGTTCAAACATATTTTACATTGCTTTTTCGCATCAGGGTCCGTGTGAATAGCCATGTGTTGTACCAAATTGCTTTCGATGTCGAATTGTTTCAGACACAATTTGCATTTAAACACAGATTGCACTTTACTCTGCCAGATACCGTTTGACTTGAGTAACTTTATACTTAGTTTACTATTATTTTCGACCGATTTACGGTCTTCGTTGTCCAGTCTATTAGTAGTGTTTGTATTGCTGTATATACTCGTATTTTGTTGGCCGTGAGATTTTTTCATGTGTCTGTTCAAACCAAAATTCAACTTGAAATTTTCACCGCAGATGTCACAGTGAAATAATTTGTTGTCTTTAACGCTTGTCAAAATATTTTGGGTAGTTTCGTTCGTCGGTTGAAACTAAAACAACAAAAAAAAATCAAACGTTATAAAAGTAATTTAAGAAAAATAGCATTTAAAATTTAATTATTGAGATGAAATCGAGCTTGAATGATATGGTAAATATACCGAAAGAGATAATTGGAAACAACCTACACAGAAATATTGGATTAAAAAAATAAGTAAGAATTTTCTTTTTGTTAAACTAATTTATAATTGTTTTGTAAAATAATTATTATTGCGACTATATCTTTATTTATGTTTCAATAATATTTTATTTACTAAAAAAAAAAACCTGAAATATTTTATACACCGATATATCGTAATATACCAACACAACTCTCTAAGTTTCAACCTTATACAATTGTCACAAACAAAATATAGTGCTAAAGTACTTTCTACTAAATCTTTTAGAAAAAAACTTATTTTATTTTTAAAGTTTTCCTAAAGAAGTGTTGTAATTTTTTGTATAGTTTTATATTAAATGCATAGCTGAAAAAGTATTATTTTAATAAAAGTTTTTTTTTTTGTGTGTGAAATCACGATACATTTTTTGCTTGTAATCCGATTTACTCAAGTAGCACCTCTATAGAACCGAAATTTTTTATGAGGTTGATACTATGATGAATCAAATGTAGAAAAAATCAACTCCTTCATCCTCAAAACTGGAAAAAACTGAAAAAATATGACTGGTTTTTCAATTGTCACATTTGCTATATCATGGCAAAACCTATCAAATTAAATCAAAATTGTTGTTGAATATTAATTAGGCATGCTTCTATTCACAAATTACCTCAAACTTAAATATCGACAATACTTAGCCACCGGGAGGGGCAAATTTAGAATACAATGGTTTGGATTGTGCTTGGTATAGACTGTGTTGGTTTTATTGTGATTTATATTTAATGCCACAAATCAAACTAATAGTGCTAATATGAGAACCTATCTAAATTAATGTAATTTATTTAGTAAGCAACCAAACTTTTAGCACATACTACACGCTATACATATATATTTTAAAATAAGGATATTCTATCATTGAATACCTTCTTTCTTTCATTCATTAAATAACATTCTAAACCGGGTCGAGTGAATAAAATCTACTTACTACTATATTGTGGACGGGAGAACTATGATTTTGGTCGCTGACCATTAACAATCTGTTGAGAGCTAATTTTGTCTCTTGGTCGGACAAACCTTTAGACCTCAAAAACTGTACTTTTTTATCCATCGGAGAATTTTTTATTGCCTCGGAATTTAAGAACTCAGTCGCTTTTATCACCTGTAACCACCGTCAACCGTGTGTAAGCATACACAAAAATATTTTCATTAAACAAAAATAAAAACTTACATAATTTTCACGTACGCTATGCCCGTTTTCCAGTGTGTCAGTATTTTTATTTTCCTATACAATTGATGATTTTAAGTAAAAAATAAAGCTTCTTAAGTTAAAATATAATAACCAAACGTGTCAAATACCTTACCTGGCTAATAGGTGTACTATTTTGCACTGTTGCGTTATTTAATTTGTTAGTCTGCAACAGAAGTATACACGTTATTTATTTTATGTTCATAAAAATTACATAGGTGCAAAAAAAATAAGATAATGTTCATCGAATGATCAGCCTAAATCTAATAAACTAAACCAAAGATCGGTAGATCAGACCAAACAGTAGATCTGAATCGGCCACTCCTAAAAAAATAGCTATCTAGTACCTATACTTTATATAATTACAATACAGTAATATTGTTTAAATATACTAGTACTTATTTAAAAGTTTTTTCATATTAGGTTTTACTAGTTAAAAACTTTGAAGGTAATTCTCCTCTAATTTTTTGAGATTGTCCTAGTATTTATGTTTGAAAATGAACTTACTGTAATCATAAAATATAGTATACAGTAAAATAATTATAAATCACTTAAAGTGCAAATATTACACACTAATCTTATAATGTTAGTATTGCCTTAGTAGTTTTTAAAAAAAATGTTTTAATCAGTATTTTGTATTTTTTTATCTAGTATTTTTATTACAAATCTGTTTTATAATGTCACAATAAGGATCCCAGTGTGATAAGTACTAAATACTTAATAGTTGAATCATTTTAAATCCTACTCAACTTGACAATATTGTCCTATTGATACGTACCCAGTTGAGGCGCGGCGGTGAAGTGTAAGACGACGGCGAGCTGTTTTGGTCAGGTTCGACTTTAGGTATTTCGAGAAAACTTTGCCACGAACAGTCATCCATCGAATCGGTTTCCCATTTAATAACCTTATTATCATTTTCAGTGACCAATGATACACAATTTTCGTTCACAGAATACCAAGATCTATTTTCTGCTGTATTTTCAACCCATTTTAGTACACTAAAAATTAATAAAATAATTGTTATTGAGCATAAAATAAAATATAAATACTAATAACTTACCCAGAAAAATCTTGATTGTTCTCAAGCGGTTCAATTTTTATAGAATTCATGGTCTGAAGAAGTCAACAACCTACCAAAAAATTGTATCAAACAACTTGCCCAGAGAAAATATTTATCAACTTATGATAAGTTATCATATACAAGTGGAATGGGCCATTTAAAATGTGAAAGTCTATAGAATAGTGTTCACATAACATTTAAATAACCAAGGTCTTTAATCTAATTATTATCGAAATACACTAGGCATTTCATCAATGATAATGACACCCCAATCAAAACTGCAACAACACAAAAAATTGAAATAAATGGTCTCCAATGAACAATAATATAGTTACATTATATTACATCCTTAAACTATAAATTTTTGAGTTATTGCAGTTTTGAACTGGTAAATCAATATTGTATTTATAAATATTTCGTTATTAAAAAATCAATCAGTTTTAACAACAGTCAACAAAAAGTGTAATGTAAAAGTAAAAAGTTGTAAATCGCTTAGTATTCGTCGAGAGCTAAATATGTAATCGCAATAATGCAGAAAGTCAGTAGCAAGTCTCGAGGTCAGAAAGTGGATTATGAAAAAAAATCTTACAAAATATTTGTATTTTTTTTAATAAAAGTGGGTAGACATCGTTTTCTATGACACTTTGCCAATGTAGGAAATGCTGAACAGAAAAAAAACTAGCTACATCGTCAAAATATATCAGATTATAATTTTAAAACAGCAAACTACAATTTAGAATTAGAAGTTGGTTATTAAAAAAATGTTTTATATTTCAACAGCTGTTTTGGAAAATTAGGCAAGGCTGTGTCAATCGAATGGTTTGCACATTTTTTAATATAAAATAATGAATTGGGTTCAAGTGACAATGATAATAAAAATAACTACCTGTATGATAATCGGAGAAAAAAAACAAAAACAATTGCTTTCACCAAAGATTCTGCAATTATTGCAATCACAATCGTATAGACGGAAATGTTCTAAAATTTAAACGAGTTGTGAAAAATATTTATAATATTGTTATCATCAAAAAAAAAAACAACACTGTTTACCTTAAACGCGTTGAAACATGAAAAAACGCCGTTCGAGGATCGATTATAGATTTTCAACTCGGATCAGTTTCTGTATTCTGATAGCCGTTATAAACGTTATACGCTTAACAGAATATATATAGTTCAAGAATGATTATTTATTATCGCTAAATATTTTTATTTCACAAACAGAACGTTATACTAAATGGCAACTGTTGTGATAAATTGGCGGGTAGTGTACAGTTGGCGTCAGATGACTGATGGCATCGGGCATGACTCACATGAGGACCAACAGCTACAAATTTGTACCCGAAATAAATTTAAGTGTATATAATAATTATCCAATTAAATACCATTATAATAATATTATGTAGGTTGTAAGTGTAATATTATATTATCATGTTGTGCAACAGGCAACAGTAATCGGTATTAACAGGTAAACAATAATTTATATTCGATTATAACAGCCACCAGAAATGTTGCCGTCCATGGTTTTAACCGATCCACAGCTGTTGCGCAGTTGCTGTTGTTGCCAACTCTTATCAGACTTTTATATCTATATATTGATAATAACAAACCGTATATCTGATGTATTGCAAATTGCAATGTTATAATTAATATTATTTTGTTTTTGGCTTGTTGTTTTAAACACATGGTAATTAATACGAACTACAATATTATATAATATAAAATACAAATCAAATGTACCAATGTAGTCCGTGGAGATATATATTCTTTTATTTAGTGCGTCTATTTTATTTTTTTAGGTGAATTTTTAGGGATTAAAGTGAAAATTTACCGAAGGAATTTATTTGCATTACATTTCATAATGATTTATGATATAACTAATTTTTGTACAACTAGTCATTAGTGCTAAAACTCAACGAACCTCTATTATTTCTTTACTTGAAATCTCAAAGAACTTATTACACATTAACATTGTAGTCAACTTTAGGTTGATGAGGAATGAACATATTCAGGATGTAGGCCTCGCTCCTGAATTACAGCACCCGACACTAAAAAAATACCTATGGCGTATTAAATTTCCAAGTTGCTAATTGTGAATGTATATATATATATATATATATATATATATATATATGAATTTTAATTTGTTTTGCGAAGTGGTAAAAATTCGTTCAAAATATCAGTGTAAAAGGTTAATGAATCTCGCTCTCTCTCTCTCCTTAACAAAAAGTTTATATAGAGCAAATTTCAAGTAAAAAACAAGATTTAAGAGGGGCCTCTACACCAGAATTTATTAAGAAGTATTGTATAGGCAATTTTTCGCTAAATCTTAACATCATGCTAAAATTTTTAAACTTACATATTGCCATAGAAAAGAAGTATCTATTGCGATGATTAATTATTTTTTCAACTAGGTATCATAACCCATATAAGATTTATTTTTGTACAATAACATATGTTTCTGCTTCTAACGTACTGTTCCTAAAAGTACTTTAGGCTATTTACGACTGTCGAAAAATTCTTAATTACTTTGGGTTTCATCAACTTGAGGAACAGCAATTCCTGTAACAAATACATCGATTTTTTATAGTTTTTCTTTAGAATTACAGTACTAGTATAATTATCAATTTTTTAAATTTTATATTTACTTAACGTTTCTGCTATAACTTGTCGCATTCTTAACTGGTAATGCGTGGATTTTAAAATGTAAAACAAAATATATTTTAATTTACCTACATATTTTTTATGACTGAAACCAAAATGTCATTTAACAATTTAGTGTATATTTTTAGATTAAACATTTTTTTTTTAAACCACTTAAATAAAAAAGAAAGTTAGTTCATCGAAAAAAATGTAAATACGCTTGAAAGGATATTCAATGTTTAAATATTAAAAAAAAATGTGAATAAAACATTTTTTTAACACCTAAAGTTTTGCAAGGCATCTATTCCAATGTGTTATAATTTTGTCAGAAGTAAATTTAAACGTTTTTTATTTTTAGCTTTTCTTCCAGTAGAGGTCAAATAGATACATCTGGTAAATTTCTATAAAAATGTTTAGCGTCGGCCAAGCATACTAATTACCGACAATGTATGGTTATTATAGCTGTTTTCTCTCGATAAAGAAAAAAGTTTTATTACCGACTTGCATGGACGCGAATAATCAGAAATTGTCTATTATTTTTTCGAGAAAGCTCTTGTAGTTTTAAATTGCATCCAACTATCCAAACGTCATAATTTTACAAATTTTAACCAGTTTATTTTATTTAGACGACTGTTGTTTTATCTGATGTGTTTAAGGAACCCTTATCACCAATCCGGTATGGTCTAGTGGCTAGGATACCTGGCTTTCACCCAGGAGGCTCGGGTTCGATTCCCGGTACCGGAATTAATTTTGTCTTTTTATTTCAGATCGACAATGATATTATATAATACGTTTAAATTTGTTATTATCACTATGTGTAGAAAAAAATCTTTATGGAAATATTTCCAAATGGTTTTGTCAATCAAATCTTGTATAGGAATATAATTTTTTTTTTCGTGTTGACTCACGATATCTTTTTAACTTAATTATATATTGATAATGAACGGATTATTACAGACACAATGATGTGGTAGCAACTGCTGGGGGAGAAATAATTATTTATTATATGAAATCGACCCTAGCCTGACCTTTTGTTTTTATTCGAATAGAAAATTTTAATGGTTCTTATACATTTTTTTTGACAAAAATATATTATTTGATGTGATAAAATTAAATACATAACAACGGTTGCTATGCACAGTTACAGCCATTTTATTATTCCTTGGCAATTTGTATTGAAATAACAAAATATGATTATTAATAATTTATTAATTAAATACATTTTTATTCTGCCGTTACAATATAACCAAATTATTTATTTTTTGTATTTGTATTTGAGTCCATTATTACTAATTAGACTCGACATTAAAACAGTATTCAAAAAGTTTTTTATTTTCGTTCAAATGAAAATTGATTTGGAATAATTGTCCATTTGGTTTCTTTATGATATATTATTACTCTGTGTCCTGTGATACTAACTGTGTTTTTATATTAATTGAATTATGTTAAATTATTTATCTTTAATCTTTATTAAAAGTTAATGAAGCCATTATAATACTATTATCCATGTTTGATTTATATAACATATATATAAAGTCACATACAGAACTTAATATTATTATTTGTTTTAGAATTTTCGTTTAAATAAAAAATGCCCAGGTTTGTATTTGAACACGCATACTTACGACGTGAATTGATTAATATTTTATTGCCTGATAAAATAAAATAAAATTAAAAATAAAGGAAAATTATAATAGTCATAGTAATATAAATTATAGGTAGTTACAATTACTAGTCTTAGAAGATCATAAAAAAAAAAGAAATGAAATAAGATCATTTTGGTTGATTTCGCGCTTATAAAACATAAAAGTAAACAAATGTTTTTTAAATTTGTTTAATTGAAAAAAAATTGCTCTTCTGTTTAAGTTTTATTATAATGGTTTACCGAAAATATTATTTTATACACATACATAAAAAGCACATGATAATGCAGTCTTAAACTTAGGTTTACAAATAGTATACAATTAATAATATTAAAAAAAAAAAAGTCTTACATTAAGAATTCCTAAACAATAATTACAGTATAATATCTACACTAGTATTTGACTGTTAGAGTCGACGGTCGCTTTTTTTAACAACATTTCTTTTTAAGTTCTATACAAATTAAATTATATTTTAACTATTCTAATCTCACTTTTGTTTCAAAAAGTCTTTAATGTCGTACAGCAAGTAACAATGCAACGCGAGCAGTATGATACCAGGAACGGAATACATGAGCATTTTCAGCCATTCAGAACCGTTTTGCACGTTCGAGGTGTTTGACGACTGTGACGTGTTCAAAAAACTGTGCTGGACGGGGGTGTAACAGTTGTATGGGGCAACGACGGCCTGATGGTAACACGGCGAGTATGCAGGGTGATAACTGTGTTGCGAGACCATGCTCCTGGTATCGAAATCAAAGTCACCCCTAGTCGAGTACGTAGAATACTGTCCAGGTGACGACGTCGGGTATCCGGAGTACTTGTCTTGTTTGGCCGGTGGTGCAAACAACTTAGGTGGTTTTATCACGTCGTTGTCGCAGTGGTGGCCACGATCGTTGAGCTTCATGCCTCGAAACAAATTGTTCACGTGCTTGTTGACCGAAGTTTTTACGGTTGGGGTAACATCGACATAATCGACTTCCATCATCTCGGAGTCGTCACTGTTTTTAAACGATCCATTAGTACTAGAAAATAAAAAAATTAACAAATTATTTTTTTTTTTTAATTTAACATTCCGTTTATTTATTGTACAAACCTGGTCATTACTTAAAAGAAAAAAAAAATTAAAACATTAACATTTATTTAAATAAAACTAATAAATTTCTATTCAAAATAACAGGTAATTTGTTTTTAAAATAAAAAGTTTTTAATGCACTAAATAAATAATGCCCAGTTTTTGTATGTCATAATTTTTTGTTTTTATTTTGATATGTGAAACAAACCTATACATTATCTTAGTTTTCATGTCTTTTTAATGGTTTAAATTGGTCGGCAAGTGAACGATAAATTCAAATATTAGGATTTATTACTCAGTAATTTATTGTACAAATGTATTATTACTTGCAAATGGTAATTAAAACAGAGTTGGCATTTGGCAATACTCCGTTAAGTTTTATTGGGTATGCATAAATCCAGTAAAATATGTATATTTTTGGTTTAATAACAAACATATTTTCTGGGCATCAATAAAACGGAACCAGCTGTTTTTTCTTTGCTTACTCTGAATTAAAAATTGCTAAAACAGGTCCAACTTTTTGGGTGTAGTGGGATATATTCCATTTTTTTTTTAGGTTTTGGACCTGTTTTGACATAGTGATTAAACACATGCAAGCTTAATAATATTGAAGAAGCAGAATTGTGGATGTCCAAAAATACCTTTGTCAAATTCTCAAAACAATTAAAATATTTTACGACATTATCTACGCTAAGTAAATATAGACGTCTTACAGCAGCAGTATTAATGCACATACCGTAGTTTTGAGAGGTTAAACGTCGAACATCTACGATGTTATCATATTCGTCTCTGGTGGTATACTGAACAGGCTTGGGAATGGCTTTGAGAAATATTTTTTCGTTAAGTATTCGAGCGACTTTGAATTTTGGAAGACGCACGACGAACTCGTTACTTGACCCAGGCCGAAAACGGTTTTCCCGTAAATGCGCTTTTGGCAAAACGTATTGTCTACTAAAATGATTATTTAATGTAAAATAAAACGGCAACATTTAATACTTTTAATGTGGTACAATGTAATTTATTTGTCTTTTTAATCATTACATTTTTAATTGGCATTTCGTTTTAATTTTACGCTGTATAGATTCGTTTCACTGGTTTTTTTTTTTAAGTTTTGAGTGTGAAATATATAAAAAATCAAGTACCTCATATCAAATGATGGCGTAGCACTTAGGCGATTATCGTTATACGATTGTAGTCTTGACGAATGATTGTTTGATTTGTTCATCGATTTTATTATCATAGCGTAAACAGATAGAAGTATATTCAATGTGGATAGTAAGAGCTAAATTCACGAATATATGTAATTAATAGATGTAATTATACATTCGTAACTTTTATGTGGAAAAAAAACCATCCGTTCATTACCCTCGCTTTAAAACGATCTAGAAGTTGAAAGCCATTGACGACGACTAATGTAGACCAGCACAACATGATAGCTGCGCTTAACAGCGACATCGTTGTTATGCTTTGATAAATTAGAATTAACGTGCCAAATACGCTCATTGCATTCACCAGTCGATCGACCGTTATAAAATCAATGTAAATTGTCGGTACTTCAAAATATTTCATGGCCCAAACTCCAACATAGTTACCAATATGGAGCAACAATAATGTAATAATAAACGATAAACACACTGAACATATCAGCGGCCAATTGGGAGAGTTTTCGTTTTGCTACAAAATAAAGACGTACAATTGTCAAACACATAATTTACCCAACAAATGACTAAAATATATTACAGTTTCTGAATTCTTCGACGCAGCTTTTAAATTGTAGCGTATTTCTTGGAAGTGTAAAATTTTTTTGGTATACACCTCACACTTGTGACACAGTTTTAGGGATTTTTCCAAATTGTTTCTAAATTATTTTATTATAAAATTATTATTTTGGATACATTTTTTAATTATGTTAAGTATTTCTTTATATTACTTGAACGCTTCTATTTCCCTGTCAAAGTACTTCTCGTTGGTCGGCGTAAACGAAGCAAGTTGTTTTATTTTTATCTCTTGAATGATATTGCATTTATGGCATAGCCCATTTTTACTTCCTTTGACGTCATCTTGGGATAAAACAAAATTCCTAGTGTTACGCGACACATCGTGTTGCTCGGGAATCGGTTTACTGTAGCTTCCATCCTAAAAATGAAAAAAAAAAAAAAAAATGTAATTTAAAAGTATGTTGAAAAATAACATAACTCTTCAAACTTACTTCTTTAAACCCATTGAATTGCCCACAATGTGGACAAGTATACTCGGATCTCTCTTTGTAAGGTACGCTGAAGTTGGAATTGCAAAACCAGCAATTTACATAGATAGGATAAAATCGTCTAATATAGTTATAAATATAGTAGCAAAATATTATTAACGTTGCGGGCGTCAGTACCGAGGAAAATGGTTTTTCTTTAACAATGTCTAAAAAAAATGTATAATAGTCTGATCAATTAAATTATTATATTATATTATTAAAATATATATCAACTATTATACAAAAATTAAAATATAATATTATATTTACCAACAAAAAATACAAATGACTCGTCACTATACAGTTTTTTGATGAAGTCCATAACTGAAACACAATTAAGAAAATGTTGTATTACAACAGAAAATAAAAACAAATACATTTTAATAAAGTTAAACAATTACATAGGTACAGGTTTTGAAATTTGAACAGTTTTTTTTTTAAAGTAAAATATTATCTGAGTGGCAATGCGCTAGGCCGAGTTCCAGCAATGCCAGTGTATCTTTACGCGAACCAATTCACCCAGTTTTTCTACCCAACATATCGGTTTTCTCTTAAGATAAAGCTTTTGAAATTTGAAACATAAATTAAGCTCGAGTAGCTTAGGATACTGTAAAAATTTGAGCCCTTAATAGTAAGCCTTTTCAAAAGGGGAGAATTTCAAAGTTTTCAATTTTGTTACCGACTCAGTCACTTACTCACCATCGAAATTATAAAACACTTCCCGTATAGGTAGAAACGTGAAATTTGGCACAAAGGCAGGTCTTATAGTGTAACTAAAGGGGAAACTCTGAAAGTTGTAATTTTCTCAAAATTAATGCCACTATATTTAGGGAGTGCAGGGAAGTAGGTCTAAATGCATGTTGTAACGCGCATGAATATTGCTTTATTAGATTAGCACGGGTTTTTATTAATTAATCACAGATTCCCGCGCCGTCGAAACAAACGTTCTCTTTTAGTGTTACAATAGGTCAATAAGCAATTATTTGTAATTGACAGTAAATACTTATCGAACATAATGTTCTCGTAATTTTATTGTATTTTATTTGAAATAACTAACCGATAAATTAAATAAATTACTTAATTTATCGGTCATTAAATACAGAATTTTTTAATAACCGTAATAGTATCATTATTTAATTAAGTCTATATAATCTATACCCGTGTTATTCTTTGTCGGAGAATTCGTTCGTTCGTTCTAAGTAGAAAAAAAATAGCAAGTGCCGCTTTTCTAAGAAAAAATGTATTAAGCAAAATATTCGAGGCGACCGCGTAAATCAAACGCGCGGCTCTCTGTTCAAAATACTCCCAAGCAATGCCTCGACAAAATTAACACGTCGCCCACGATGCTGAAGTCAGCAAAGAGGAATGATATCTCCAACAAAAACCTAACAGTGAAAAAGGGCCAAGTTCTAGACCTCCTCCTAAGTCAGTCTACCAAAGTCGCGGTATCTACATTGTGGCTAAGCCTGTTTTATGCCTCATTCAGAAAGGTCATGTTCATTTAGAAACTGGCCAAGTGTTGAGCAATACAAATAAAAGAGCAGTGTTGCTCGTGAAAGTACGAGTGAAGTGAGGTTATGAACTAAAGAAATAGCAGAATGTAGCCACAATGTAGATATCACTACTTTGAACTTGGCCCTTTTTCACTGTTAGTTTTTTGTTGGTGATATATTTAACAGGATCTGACATATTATTTTTCTAACAATAAATTAGAAACTAGAACTTTTATTTTATCTTATATTTTTGGAAATCCGAATCTAAACTGGACTGACACCAAAAAAATCATTAAGATTCCAGTCGCTGCAGCGAATTACACGTTACAGTCTAAATTCAATCCCTTGGTAATTTATGGTCGTTCTCATCAGTTTGGCTTAAAGTTCAAATACAGTTTAGCCTATAATTTAAGAATTGTTAAATTATACTTAATTGAAACTAACGAGGACAAATGTACAAAATATGTATAAATGTTTCGACGATTAAATATAATATATAGTTAATTTTGGACTTAGGTGCCACACCCCCCTAAGAACTTGTTTGATTCTTTCCTTTCTAAACATTTTCTAGACTTAAAAACGTATAAAATTATCATTATTAATTTTCAGTAGACAGTATAAAATTAGTAATTGAAAATGTGAGTGTTAGTTTTGAATTCACTATTTTACATTATAAGTAGATACTTATAAATAATATGGTCACTTCAAATCGGTTTCTATGAACGATTTAACGTGATAATATTATAATATTATCACGTTAAATACCTAGACAGGCACTAGAATTTTTTAATATGTCATAATTAAAGAGCCATAAATAAATTATCTACTAGACAGATTACAAGAATGCATTATAATATAAAATGTAATAATTCTCTATCAACGTGAGTCCCAAACGACTATTAATTTAATTAGGAAGTGAAAACAACAAAAGGGGTCAGGTTAAATGTGTCAACGTCAATTTAAATAAATCCATAAATGTTATAACCGTGCCTGTGACGATCAAACGAAAATTGGAATAACGACATAACGTTTTTGGAAGTGGGAAATTAAAATACTATATACTATATCAAATTTGTAAACATTTTAGACAAAAAAAAAATGTTTTTAATTGATATAGAAATATATTGTTAAAACGTATCGATTGAGTTTTTTAGGCACCGTCGACGCATGTAATAATGTTTTATTTATGGCGCCAGCGGTTGGCCACACTGATCGATTCGAGTGGACCGACAAGCCGGGAATGGGTCGGCACCCGCCTTCCCGCCCGTACGATTATTGATAAACCCTCTTCAAAACGCCGACCAAACTCTGTAGAGTGGATTCCATAGTTAAACACTCACCTCTTTTCTTGGCCGTTTCTTATTCACAATAGTAATTATTGTTCAGTTAATCAGACTAGCTTGTCTGTAGTAAAAGCGATAACGGTAATTTAAAATTTCTCGAATAATTTTTTTTAATTACATTCGTTTGAAGCGATAATCTATTATTTACAGTAGTTATGATTTTTAGACACATTCAAGTTGCAAGCCAGTCCATAAAGATGTGTGCTTTACGTTATTCGTCGTCTTGGCCTACCAAAGCCTATGTAAACGGCCAGTGGTACGATGCCAAATCGGGTAAAACTTTTGACGTAATCAATCCGGCCACTGGAAAAGCTATCGCCACAGTGCCAGATTTGGATGCGTCCGACGTGCAAGTGGCTATAAATGCTGCAAATGACGCTTTCAAAACTTGGAAGAAAACAACGGCCAAAGAAAGAAGCGACTTGCTCAGAAACTGGTACAATATTTTGGTAGACAACAAAGAGTATTTAGCCGAAATTGTCACGGCTGAGGCGGGTAAACCGTTAGCAGAATCGTTGGGCGAGGTGGCTTATGGTAACTCGTTTGTCGAATGGTTTTCGGAAGAAGCGAGACGGAACTACGGTGAGTATGTTCCGAGTCCGATTAAAAGTAAAGAAATTCTTATGATCCGCCAGCCGTTAGGACCGGTAGGCCTTATTACACCTTGGAATTTTCCAATAGCTATGATTACTCGGAAAGCTTCAGCCGCTCTCGCAGCAGGTTGTACTTGTGTGATAAAACCGGCAGAAAATACTCCAATTATGGCGTTAGTGTTGGCCAAGTTTGCCGAAGATGCCGGTATACCTAAAGGAGTAATAAACGTTGTGACAGCGTCCCGAGCAAATACGCCCCAAGTCGGACAGTTATTATGTGAAAGTCCGGATATTTATGGAATATCGTTTACCGGTTCAACAGAAGTTGGTAAATTATTATATAAACAATGCAGTAGTACAGTGAAACGCATTGGCCTGGAACTTGGCGGAAATGCACCTTTTATAGTATTTGAAGGTGCCGATGTTGATAAAGCCGTAGCCGGTGCAATGGCCTCGAAGTTTAGAAATTGTGGACAAACGTGTGTAAGTGCTAACAGATTCATTATTCAAAACAAAATATTTCCGGAATTCGTTACTAAACTCCAATCGGCTATGGAAAAATTAGTAATCGGTAACGGTAAAGACAGTGGTGTTAACATGGGGCCGTTGATTAATATGAGTCAAGTAGAGAAAGTAGATAGAATTGTCAACGATGCCAAGAGCAAAGGCGCAACAATCGTAATGGGTGGAAACCGAGCACAGACTTTTGGAGAAAGATTCTATGAACCAACATTAATTACCGACGTTAAAGAAAACATGGCGTGTTATGTCGAAGAAATTTTCGGACCCGTTGCGGTGTGTATTGGATTTGATACAGAGGAAGAGGGTTTGAAAATCGCTAATAGTACAAACAGAGGTTTGGCCGGATACTTTTACTCAAATGATTTATCCCAAGTCTGGCGGGTAACTAAAGCCCTCGAAGTAGGTATGGTCGGTGTTAACGAAGGCATTATATCATCGACCGAAGCAGCTTTTGGAGGTGTCAAAGAGTCTGGTCTAGGACGAGAGGGTTCAAGTCATGGCATGGAAGAATACACAGAAATCAAATATGTATGTTTTGGAAACATTCAGCAAGAATAAATACAATGTTTGTTTCAACAATCAATATTTGTCTTCCATTAGAGAAATTTAACGTCTTCCTTTAAATTTAAGTCTTAAATGATAACTTTATTAGTGTTACCTACTACTTTAATTATATATTATAATTTATGTATTGTTATTGTAACCAAATTTATGAATTAAAATATAAAAATTTATGAATATTAATATTTATATGAACAAAGAACTGTAGAACATTTGTCTAAATCAATATTTATTTAGCAACATCAACTGTAAAAGTAATTGTATTTATCTTCGGTATATTTAAACTGCATCAGAGGTTTTAACTAAAAATTTAGGTGTACTTTAAATTTGAAGTAATACAAAATAAAATGTTTGTCGTTAATCTACAAACTAAATATTTGGGTAAACAGAAAAAAAACTTGAATTTACATATTTCACGTCTTTTTATAAAATAACTTTCAAAGGAAAAATAGTAAGTCTTTGTAACCTTTTTGGTATACATTTTTTTAGCAGTAGACTTGATAAGAAAATTAGTAAGTTTCAAAACGACATGCACTTTTACTGATATTTATACCATAGCTAAAATTTATAAAAATAGGTCGATACTATCAAAGAAATAAGTTTATTGATAAACCTTGTATAAACCGAAAAACTGAATAAAATAAGGAATTCTTTTGAATGGTCTCGCTTAACTGCTTTTATGTATATTTTACTTTAAAGACATAATCTGCCATGTACAACATTTTCTTTTGGTCCCATTCGAATCAGCCTTAGACAATTTCACTGTATATTAGGTTGTAAAGTAAAACGTCTGCATAATGTGACTTAAGCATGAGCTCCATATACTAAAAATGAATGAAAATGATAGTAAAAAAGATGAAAATTGTTCAATCAAAATAAACATTATCGATAAGACAAAATGCAATAAAATATTTATTCGTAAACATAGATAATAATATTACGCACGTCTATAAACTTAATGGATTCGTTAGTAATCAAAATCAAAATAAATCTTCGAGCTAGGACTATCAACATAAATAATACAACAATATTATCAATGAATGAAGAAAATACAAAGACCAGCGAGCTGAATTTAATACATCAGAACACTATAAAATGCCCTATCAAATAACACACGACTAGAAAAAAACAATGTTATTAATTATAATACAAACCTATCATTGTAATTCATTATAATAATCTTATCATACTGTCTCAAATGTAATTTATCTAATATTGGTGGAGGCTTATTTATAACAATACTAAAAAAAAAATTACAATAGAGTAGGCCAAATCACACAAACAATACGATGTAATAATATAGTGTTGGTCGTTTACTTACTTTTGAAATCAAGTCGGCTAAATACACATATTATTAAATTGATTGAATGACTTTAATTAAACTTCAAACGTTTGTCTGAGGTTTAAAGAGCATTACCGAATTCAACAAAAAAGTAAAATCTACAACATTGAACCTTCGGTTCGGTCAAATCTGTTTTATCAATAACACGGTTATCTAACCTAACCGCGATCAATAGCAATGTTGGTAAAACAAAATCGGTCGACGTTAACCACGGATGAATGGTAGAGTGTTACAACCCTTGCTACCTGGTCCTCGGTTGCTCCGTCCCTGTGCAAATAAAAAAAAATGTGATAACAGGTTATCATCTATCGGTAGAAATTTTAATAAATGTCAATTGACGGATATATAGAGTACTGGAATTTTTTCAAAGAACCGTTTTTAAAGTGAAATAAATTATTATTACCCAGATTTAAAAAAAATACCCGTCGACTGTATGTGATAAACGTCGTAGTGCCTTTTTTTTACAAAGTAATTACATTTTTTACATCGATTGATTGTGACACGTGAGCTACGTACCTAGCTCATCGAGTACAGCTGATTGCCGAGTTTTCATTCACACGGTAAGTTAAACAAAAATTACCTTTTTAAGTAAACTAAACGCTCGTTTTATAATATATTATAATGATAACATTCAATGGGATTACAGAACAATTTAATAGTACAAAAGTAATATTATATCAAACATTAAAATTCATTATTTTGTTGTCACAATTGTTTCTTTAAATAAACTTCCAATTTGTTGTGTTATCCACGTAAAGTTGATTGGAACTATTGTATTAAATTAACATAAGATTGGTTATTAACATTTTTAATTTTTTACCTAAGAAGTTACCTGAATAACATGTACATTATATTGGAATCAAACATTGTACTATAGACTTGTACATTAATAATTGTTACTATTGTGAAGTTAAAAATATTAAAGCAAAACGAAGGACGGGTTAAACGTATGTAATGTTTGATAACAAAAAAATTTAAGTTAAATGTTTGACCGTTTTGTACAGCTAGGTATAGCTTTAAATTTACTTTTGAACTTTATCAAATACAGACTTAATTATACCATACTGCCATACGAATAAATTAATAAATAATTAATTTAGTTGTATATTTTATTATTCATTAAAACTGTGAACTAAAAAAGTATTGGTATCACACCATATTTCAACATTAAATATATTTGAATCATAAGCATTTTGAATATTTTTGGCTATCAAATTTTCTTTCAGTTCATTTACATGCAAACGATAGCCCAGCATGCCTGTTGCAGCTTATTACTTTCATGTCTTAATTTTAACATCTTAACCTAATACCTACATAATACTGTTTATCTTTTAAAACATAATTCAATTTTTTATTTTTGTAGTGTTTCATTTATTTCATTATGTTATTGGTATATTTTTTGCGTTCAGAAATGTTAAGTGCATTCATCTATTTGTATTGATTGATTTGAGACAGTCGGTACCAGTATTGAAGAATTAGTCAACTGTTACTATGGTGATATTGTTAAACATGTGTATTTAATATTTTAGAGTTATTATACAATTTGTATTAAACGCGAGTCAATTATATCATTATTTTTAATGATTTATACTAATTTTTCTGGTGTATTTCGAAATGTTTTTTTGGTTTAACAGTGGTAATGATAAAAAGTTACCGAAAGTGCGAACTAAAACAAACAACAACAAATGTTCACCAGATTATCCGAAACATGTTTCATTTTCTGAACCATTTTATAAAACAGTCTATCCAAAATATTCACCTTTGCCAGCCATCAGTTCTAAGAATCCACGCAGGCAGCTCGAAAGGCAGAGAACGTATGTAGTTACTAGTCCGGTGTTTGTAAAACCGCCAAAAGAAAGGAAGAAAGTAATGACTTTCAGAGATTTTAAAAAAGAAATGAACAAAAAACACAAAAGCGACAACAACAGTAAAAACGAAAATGGATTGATGTGGTTTGATTTATAAATATATTCTATTCTGAATGTTTCATTGTGTCATGTAGGCAACCCGATCATCGGGCAGTTCGCATGAATAAAAGTTGTTTCTCTCCTATGAATTTAATTGTTTGTTATAATATTTCTAACAAATATACACAGTTAGAATAAGTCCTAGAAAACTCCACAAAAATTCTGGTCCTCTTTTACAACGCATTAATTCTTAAAACAATTTTATCATATTTTATTGTATCGATTTCTCTGGTCGTTCCCCCTTATTCTTTATAACCATTTCCACTTTGGATAAATTCTGGATTTAATTAACTATTTAATTATGTGGTACATCAGTTGAACAGGTCGTTTTTATTTTTACTTGTTTTAAATATTTCAGTAAAAAAAATAGTTTATTTTAAGTTAAATCGCATTCATAAGTTAAAAATATAATAAAATGATTTAGTAGGTGTAAATTTAGTGTGAAATTTCTTTATGAGACTTTCAAACCATGATTAATTTTCAATTTAATTATAAAAAATGATTATTGCCATTTTGGTAATTACATTATAATGTAGCATTCATAATTAAATTACATTTTTTATCTTAACATCATAAGCTATCGGATATGTTGTACAAAATCCTTAAATGATTACTATCATCTAAAAAAAATAAAAAATGTTCATAATCTTTAAAAATACATAAGAGGTAAATTTTCCTATCCGAGTTTTGTCATTTTTTTACAAAATCATTTTTTTTACATATGTAATATTCACTATTTAACTATATAATAATATATGTATAATTAAAAAATAATGTCTTCCTATTTTCACTACATTATAGTTTTGTATCTAGTTTATAATATAGGTATATTATTATTATTATATATTAATTATTATACATTTTTATAAAATTTCCTTAATAAAATGTTGTTTCTATCTCTAAAATAAGAGCACATATTTTTTTTTTAAACATTCAGTTAAAAAACAATATGAGTATAATATATTTTATTCCTTTGCAATAAATATTGTGTACATTTTTTTTTTAAATTTATAATTTGTCAAAACATAATATGTTTTTATCATTAATTATATCAAAAGACTTATGTTGTAAGTATTTTTGTTTATATATTTTGTGATATTAAATACATATTACCTTCTTGGATCTAATAAATATTGCATTTTATTGTTTAAAAGTTTTTTTTAAGACTGTGTTTAGATTTAGGTATTATAAAGCGTTGTTGTATTTAAACGCAATTTAATTTGCAAGTTTTTTGTAATAACAATTTACCATTGTTTAATGTTTTGCTCTTTTAATTTATAATTTGTATAATGTTTAAAATATTTTATGACACAACACTAAAAATATCTAAACGTCTTAAGAAATATTTTTATTTAATAAGAAAAGTTTTGATTATTAAAAGTTATAGTGATTGATTCAATTAGCTATATATATATATATATATGGGTATAATGTTGTTTCACATTAAACTTTTAGTCATTTTTTTTAAAAAGTTAAACTTTAAAATATACTTGCTCATTTTATAAACGATGTGATCCTTTTGTATATTATGCTGTATTTTGATTATTATTATTTTTTTTAAATACAATCAAGTAGTACAAGATTAGTTTAGTTTTTTACTAACTCCACTAATACATTTATTAGTAAAAGAAAATAACAAAGTAAAAATGGGAATACAATTGTATAAGCTCAATTCTACAAAATGTAGATTTAATTTTATTGAATTTTGTACTTGAATTTTGTTTGTATTTAAACATTGATAGAGGTGGAAGTATGTATATATTTTTTAACAATAATTAAAGAAACAAAATGTATGAATGTTTAAAAAAAAAGTTGATTTTAAATTGATTAAGATATGTGGTTTTTATTACCGACTGATATTCACTTATAATTTTTATGATAATAATTATTGGGCCTATTTATACACATGTGTCGGTGAAAATGCTGTATGCTTATTTGGTTCCTCTTTGGTCATGGTGTGCGGGCTTTGTTTGTACCACGCGTGATTCATAATTTGTCCCAATGTCGCTCTTTTGTTGATGTCGGGCTCCAAAATGTTGCTGTAACAATATAAGTAATGATTTACTGAGTGGATTTTTAATTATATTTTATTTATAATGATTCTTGTTCTTTGATAACAAGGATAACTCTTTGGGGTAGCCGGTAGCAATGAAACATTAAAGAATAAGTATACACTATAAAAACAGACGAGTTACCCGATAAGCTTGAGCGCTTCGCGAGGCACTAGTTTTCTGGGCTTGGCTAACTTCTTGGACAACTGGTTGGCCACCATCTGATTGCGTTCCGAATGAGGGTACGGCATAACGTTTCCCAGTATCATGTACAGCACCACGCCCAGAGCCCATACGTCATGAGACTTTGGGTTGTACGGTATACCCTTGCAGAAAACAAATGTATAAACCACAAAGGCTTTCTAATTTTTGCTAACGTTAATTGAACGTCCATTAGAAGGTAAGGGTGAGAAAGACGACGTTGTGTCGCACTAGCTTGGTAACCAGTTAGCAAGCGACCATTAGCTACGTGATGAGAAAGAGTCTTTTATACCTTTGATAGAACATTTCTTAATACTAACAACAATTTTGTTTTTAACATTTTTTTTTAAGCGTTTATATTTTTCCTTTTTTATAATAAGCCTAACTAATTTTCCAATAGCTAAATTAAAAATCTGTCTTTTAGTCCTCCTCAGAGAAAATAGTAAACTTCACATTAAAATGACTTCTACGTAAGACATTTTTTATCAAACTTTCGCCATAACTCAGGAGAAAAATAACTTTTTAAAAGTTTTATACCTAGAAAATCTTAAAAAATGTTTACCTTAAAATTAGTCGGCGTACTTAAATGACTAGAAAATCAATTTTTTTTCTATAACTGCCTATTCTTTGCCCCTTAATAATCCGATTCCCTTAAAATCATTGTTATTATTAAGTATTGTTTGATTATTGCATACTTGCAGCACTTCGGGAGCCGCGTAACACGAACTGCCACAGTAAGTTTGACTCAACACCTGTCGGCTGCGTTCGTCTACGCAAAACCTGGTAAACCCAAAATCGGCCAACTTGACGTGTCGCAAGCTCTCCAGCAATACGTTTTCGCATTTAATGTCTCTGTGCGATATGTCGTTCCGGTGTAGATAGTCCACAGCTCCGCACAGTTGTCTGTGTGTTATATAATATACAGTATAGCTATATATAATCCACACAATATGAAATATTCAATATGTATAAATTGCCGCCCTCATCCGATGTTGTAGTTTGTATGAATTGAAATATTTTAAATTTTACATTGCATTGACGAAATTCTCCCAAGAGTATTGTTCCTAGTCTCACACTGTGATATGTAATAGAGCTCCAACTTTAAATTGTTAGTTCAGTAAGTTTTAAAAAATAAAATACTTAACTCATTAGACAAAATACGAATAATATTGTTAAACCTAGCCGGCGAACTAGGTCCAAACTTCAGGGAATAAAAGTAAAATGATTATATGAAATAAAAATATTAGTCGGGACAATTGTTTAACTCTTAAACTGTTGCTTTGGACGCCTCGAGATTTTCATCTGATATTTTACAATATTTACTCTTAGACTTGCAATCCGGTAACGGGTTTATCGCGCGATATTGTTTTCTATAAGCAATAAAATTGTGAATGAAATCCATAACGGTCCGTTGTGTGGGTCGGATGGTTTCAAAAGTTTTTCACTAAAAACTTATATCAAACGCTTGTTTTGTTAAATTGGATAGTGATGTTTTCGATTAGACGACAACTGCGACTATATTATAAAGTTCTGATCAATATTGTTAAATAGCACAATGGCAACTACAACAAGAATCGTATTCGGTCGACGACCAGCTCAACCTCGGTCGGTATACTTTTTTTTTAATAGCCCGTAAACCAAAATAGTTTCAGTTATAGCTCAACGTTATTACGCGAATAAAAGAATAATTCTCTTTTACGACACAAGCACAAGTTTGCAAAGAACGTTATGTTTTAAATATTATTTTTATACACGCGTTATTGTTTTTTTATTAAAGCAAAAATATGAAAAACATAATATTCTGCGTGGGTACCACGTGCTTGTAGACTATTAACTCGCCCAGAGAAAGCAAAAAAGAAACATTGAGTGAAAAAGAGAGAAGGAATTATGTCAGGGTTATATAATTTGATTATTTCAAATGTATAATTTTCAAATGAAAATAAAAATCGCTATCAAATAAACGCTTTGATGCGAATCTGTAGATGGTAGAAATACAAATATCTATAAAAGCATTGCAATGAAAGTAATGTGATTAAAATTGTATTTTGACTATTAGGCAGGATTCGATTTGGGTTAATTGTCCATGTACAACAATCATTTGTTGGCGTTGTTTCCAAAAATATAATGAAAATATTCTGTTGATTTACTCTCACGTAGCAACGTTTTAAAAAAGTTATAGAGCTTGTCGTACTTTTTCAGTTAAAAAAGATCTAAATTTTTCTAGATTTTAAAGGGGAAGGGGTGTTTTTAAGAAAAATATGTTGGTCCAGTTAAGTACATTTCAGGTACGATTTCCGAGCTATAGTATTGCTATATAAAGAAGTCGGTTATGCGGCTTTGAAGATATCGTGGGTTCAGACAGAAAATAAAAATAAAAACACATCATTATTAATACAATATTTACTCAGTTCGGCGTCGTAGCTAAAAGAGAAGGAATGATGTCTGGGATTTTTAACTACATAAATTAATATCATTAATATTCGTGAATATGAACACACTTTACCAAAATTGGACCGTCGAATTGCATGTAAGTGTTTCACAAAAATATTCTTTTGGCCCCTTTTCGTCGTGTTACATATTACATTTTTTCCTCCGAAAATTACAAAACTTTGATTATTTTTCTATGTTGTACATGGTCTTCCTTCAACGCACTCGAGCTAAATAGCCGTCCATTGGGTTTCGTTGAGAAATCTGTCTTTAAACTGCGACAACACTTGTTGGAGTTACGGGATAGGGTGATGTTACCAGTCTTGACAATGAGAAAAGGTAAAATTTGCAATGGATAACAATGTTTTCTACGCAATATATATATATATATATATATATAATTTACTAATATACTAATTTAAAAGTAAAACTTATGAAGTCTAAGCTTAATAGCTTATTGGAGCCAACAAGATAATAATCCGTTTAAAACCGCACTGTGAAAACCAAATTATGTTCAATATACAATACCCTCCATTTGGCTCGAGGCGCCATTTGTAAGTGAGCATTGAATCTAGGTTATTTTTTTGCTTTTGTCTAAAGAAATAAAATATCTTATGTCTATTTGACAACAAAACCTCATTTTCGAACAAACTAAGGGATATAAGGTGTACTCTATATTCTGGTTTAAGTCGATTCCGTTTAAAGTAATGCGCTGCTTGGATAGAATGATTGAGCCTTTTTTAAAAGAACCATACATGATCAATATTTTAAATGATATTCTTTTTAAATTGACTCTCATAGCTGTACTACGCGCCAGTTTAAAAATTGGCTAGCAATAGTATCTATATAGCTGCAATACTCGTACATAAATTATAACTAACTTCTTGATTTAATTTTTTTTTTCGGGTTATCTCGAAACAAATATCCATTATCTAATTCGTCTTCGGTCTCAAAAATACTTCGTCACACCTTTATTAATTTTTAAACTGAAACCCATTCAATCTATTTTGTCTAAGTCTCCTCCTTGCTATTGGCGTAAGTACTTCTGTATTTATGATTCTATTCATCCTATTCTCTATACACATTCATCTCGACATTCTGGTTACTTTGTTACTTCGGTTTGAATCGTCTAGGCAAGAAGGGACTAAAGTCTGCCGACGGTGTGTTTACTTGGGTGCTTACTTGAAGAACGTGTGAGCCTGCCAGTTGGGAATGCACTTGATCTGGTGCAGATAATCGAGCAGGTCGCCTTTCTCGCAGTAGTCCATGAACATGTACACGGACGACGGCGTGATGAATATCTTGTGCGTGTTGACGATGTTCGGGTGCCGGACAATGCGTAACACCTCGAGCTCACGGGGCAGGAACTTGCGGATGTACGACCCGTTGGACGCGCGCTTCTTGTCGATCATCTTGCAAGCCACCCGGACCATCGACCCGTCTGGCTGCGACTTCAACGCCATTTTCACCTTGCTGTACGACCCCTGTCCGATGGTCGTGCCCACGTAGTATCCGTCGTCGGTGAGCGCCGCGTTCACGCCGTCTTCCGGCACGTGCACCACTCTTGGCCGGCTCTCCGACGCAAACCACTGCCACTGCTGCTGTTGCTTTGGCTGGTGCTGCTGCTGATGATTATGTCTTTGAGGGCTGTGCTGAGGGCGGTGGTAAACGTTGCGCATACTATTGTGTCGCGTTTGCCCGTTGGCGTTCGACATCTATGGCGGAGAAGTCTCGTCGTTTAGTGTGCAACACAGCAATTCGGACGGTTAGAAAGAAAAAAAAATATTAAATATACTTAATATTTGAACGGAAAATTTCTACTCGGATGATAATTATTGTAAACGACTCGTTGTTGTTGTTGATGTTTTTGTTTTTAATCCGGAAATTTGACGCTATCGTTACGGTTTTAAACGACGGTACGAGTTTACAATAATTATAAAAAACAATTTACATTATAAAAAAATATATTGTTACCCGCACGCCCTTATCGAATCGAAAGACGATAATGATTTTTTAGTCAACATTTTTTTTTAGCTTCGAATAAATGTTTGAAAAAAAAAAAAACGTTTGTTGAACATTTTGTCTGGTCGATAAACAGTTTTGAATAATAACTTTAAAGTTTTTTATTTAAGCATTTTTATTTAAGTTCAAAATTTAGGACGGGATGTGTTTGTACGGTAGAATATAATACGCGCGAATAATAATAATGTTACTCTTCACCTTCCTCCCGTCCTAAATTTTTAAGTTTAATAACTTGAAAAATAACTCTATTAACTGATTATCGATCAGTAAAAAATGTTCAGCAAATTATTCTTAATTTAAAAAGTTTATCTAATATGTACGTTACTGTTTAAAAAGCTGAAGCTCAATAAGGTTTTAACAAATAAGGGATGGGGTTATATTTTTAAAAAACATAATTTTAAATTGGGCTAACTTTTAACTATAAAATTGTAAAAAAGAATAATTTAAAACAATTTAATATCTTCTACAATATTGACTAGTCCAAGTCTAGCAAGTCTATAGATCACAAAATCCAAAAAGTTCACCCCCTTCAAAATCAAGAAGAACGTCAAAACAATTTGCGATAATATCTTTATTTTATTTTGACGGCTGTTTTATCTGATGTTTTTAACAGTACTAGAACCACCTATCCGGTATGGTCTAGTGGCTAGGATACCTGGCTCTCACCCAGGAGGCTCGGGTTCGATTCCCGGTACCGGAATATAATTTTTATTTTTTTTATTCAGAACGACACTAGTATTATATATATATTAATTTGTTACCCCTTAATTAGTTTACCCCTTTTTTTAAAAATTGAGAGAAACGCCAAAATAGTTTCCATCTTCAATTTTTTTAAAAAACGGTATGATTAGTGCCAAATTTGTATTGGTAAACGTTGAAAAACCAAAAAATATCATAAACCTCTAGATGGGGTAGAAGCTTTTTCTTTATTTTGCTTTTTTACGTGAAGGTTTAAGGCTTATAAGGTCTGACAATTAGATCTAAGGAAGATCTAGAATGAGGCTATAACATATACATAAATCTCAAAAATATGTAGTCAAACTTTTTTATTAAGGAAAACCTCCCCAAAAAAAGGACAAATTACACTTGGATCTTAGTCAAATTGTGAATTGCTGTGTACTTAAAATTAGTCGGCATGTTAAAATGGTTACTATAGTTTAATTCTTATCAAATATTGCATATCCTTAGTCCCTTAATAAATAGCGCTTTCCGTTCCCCTTAATATCATTGTTATTTTTAATTGTTATTAAATATTGTTTGATTATTGGATACTTGCAGAACTTTCGAAGGCCGCGTAAGACCTTAACTGCCACCTTGACCTTGCGAGCCGGGTTTTTCATTTTTAAATAATGATCATACTCGTTATTGACTTTTAACCGTCGGCCCGCTTGGTTTATTCGGCCTATTCGATTTACAAGCCACTTTAAAAAGAAAATGCGTTGTTCGAAAATGTAATTTTCGACTTCTGTCGGTGATCGGCGTGTTCTATGCACCGTTGATTAATTAGTCTGATGAAAGCCGAGGAGAGACATTCTTCTGTGTTTGTAATTTCCTGCGTCATACGACTGGTATTTAATGAATGTTTTTCACGTTTTGTTTCAGGCTCCCGCTCTTTGTGCACACCGAAGCAAGGATTTAATTATCCGCTCGTGTCGTTATGTCGGAAAAAGACGGTGATAAAATCGAAGGCGACACCAAGGCAGCTGCTGTCGAAGCCTGTAGTGCTACAGACCTGCCGAACCCCATAAACAACGTGAGAATCGATTAATTCCCTGTTCGTTTCTGTTGTGGCAGTCATTTTCGCAACGTACACGACCATATTATTATTGGAGACCTATTTATCGGGATAATAAAGCCATTGAGCAATTACATGACGGGTTTTAAATGTGATACTCCAAGGGACAGGGGCTATAAAAAGGGCTTTACCTTACAGGAGGTCAAGTAGATGTAATTTTTTGATACATATCACAATATAGGTTTAGGGTTGGGTTTTTGACCTGTCAAAATCTGTCATGGACAACTGATCAGATTTTGACCGGTCAAAATTAATAGAATCATTAAATAGATCAAATAACATTGTATAAAATAAATACATTTAAATGATATAAATAATTTATTATTACACTGAAAGTGTAAAAATAAAAATACAACTTTAAGTACTGACATCGTTTTAAATTTCAGTAGGTAAGTTAGTACCTAGGTAAATTTAAACAGAAAATAAAATATTGACATCTTTCAAAGAACATAAATTTCAACTTTTAATTGTAATTAAGAACAGTAGACAAATCAAAATAACAACAGCCTCTATCAGTTTAATAGTAAGTAATGATAAACAAGAAATAAAAAGTATATTGAAGGGTATAGGAAAAGAAACAGGCAAGTCACTTTTTAAAAATGGCCATTTTTTTGTTATAAAATTCGTTTTGATACGAAACAAAATTGTTCTTTATTTTTAAACACGATTAAAAGTTTTTAGGTCATTTTTTGAAACATTTTAAAACTTTATTTAAACATATTTTTCTCAGATTAAAAAAAAGGACTCGCCTGGATTTTCGCTTCTATTGATCTCCAATACACCAGAAAATGACTTTGTAATTGTTGATTAAACTTCGCCATAAATTAGAGGGAAAAAACTTAAAACATTTTTTAACTGGAAAAACCCAATACTTGTTTACCCATTAAATAAGTACTGGCGTATTCGAATAGTATTACTGTGTTGTAATTTTTCGTTAAGGGGAAAGTGTAGGTACTAGATAGCCATTATTATAGGAGTGGCCGATACAGATCTACCGTTTCGTCTGATCTACCTATCTTCGGTTCAGTTTAATAGATTAGGCTGATCGTTCGATAAATGGTATCTCATTTGTTTTTGCGCCTATGCAATTTTTGTGTACATAAAATACATGACGTGTACTACATTTATGTTGCAGACTGACAAATTGAATAACACAATAGTGCAAAATAGTACACCTATAAGCCAGGTAAGATATTAAAAACAGCCGGTTGTTATTATATTTTGACCTAAAGAAGCTTTTTTATTTTATTTTAAAATTACGGTTGTATAGGAAAACCATAACACCGGCACACCGATAAACGGGCATAGCGTTCGTGAAAATTATGTAAGTTTTTTTTTTGCTTGATGAAAATATTTTTATTTATGCTTACACACGGTCGATGGTGGTTACAGGTGATAAAAGCGACAGAGTTCTTAAACACCGACGCGATAAAAAACACCCCGATGGATAGAAAAGTACAGTTTTTGAGATCCAAAGGCTTGACCGATCATGAGATAAAGTTAGCTCTCAACAGAGTGTTAATGGTCAGCGGTCAAAATCCTAGCCCCCCCGCCCCAAATTTAGTAGTAAGTATATCATAATTTTATTCACACGACCCGGTTCAGAATATTATTATGTAATGAAAGAAAGAAAGAAGATATTTAATGTTCCAGTATCCATATTTAAATTATATATATACACTCGTACATATACGTATATATTATGTACCGTGTGTAGTATGTGCTAAAAGTCCGGTTGTTTATAAAACTAATTCCGTTTCTTGAGAGGTATATTGACGAAAGCCCTTATTCTACACACAAAAAGAATCATATGCATTAAAAAAAAAAAAAAAAACTGGTTTGGGGGTTGATAGTTAATACATTCCTTTGATTTTAGACCGATGATATATACTAAGCAAAGGCGGTAAGAGAGGTGGTAAGAGATGGTTTATAGTTTTACGTTTAGTATGCTATAAGTTGTTGTAAGTTAAACAAATAACTGATATTTGAATAAACAAAATAATTCATAATTCTTATTACAGTTATAGCATGAAGAATATATTATATTTGACAAAAATTCTCACTATTTAACTATTTTTTTTTTTTTTTAAGACTTTAATAAGCATTAACACCTCTGTTTAGTAGAACGGTTTTAAAAAATAAATGTTAAATTTTATTTCTAGCCGTCTCGACCGCATTACAATAATTCGTCAGGTGTTATGAGTCCGGAGTATGGTGTTATCCAAAAGCCATATGAGTCACAGGGTTGGTTCCGAAGACTTTTCGAGCCGATCGCCTTCATCACTGCTATTGTTTACGCAGGCTATCAAATTTACAAGGTGTGAAAATATTATATTTTTTGTACTAGTATTAATTTTTATTTTATTAACTAATATAATCTAGTGGCATATATTTTATTGAGCAGAAATACGTAGAAGGCTGGCTTTTCGGCCAACGGCAGCCTACATTGCAAGAACGTTTGCAAATGGTTGAGATTTCGGTACAGAAATGTTTGTTGTTCCTGGAAGAAAAGAGCAAGGCTTCCGAGGAGTACTTGGCCGATATGCAAACGAAACGGCAAATTGAACAAGATCAATTACGACAAGAACTGAAATCGCTCAAATGTTTGTTGCTCGGCAGGTATAATAATATATAGCTTATATTTTGTTTTATTTACAATTTATTTTGCTATTTCTTCTTACCTTGTAGAAATCAATTTCCGCCAGCTTCGACTACGCCAAGTCTTCCGCAATGGCAACAAACAAAGCAATCCAAATCCGTCGATCGATCGTCAAAAGAAGTCACCGAGGAGCCAAGTACATCCAAAATGTTATCAAAACCAACGCCCACAGGTTCTCAGAACGGCCCGGTCAAAATTGAATCCGTAACAAAAGAGAGTTCACCTCAAGTCGTGAACAATGTTGATAAAAAATCAAAAAGTTCTTCCAAATCGGCCAAAACTAAAAACACCATCAATTCGCAAAATATCAATTTAAACGGAACGCATAATGAACCCAAAACGACTGTGCCAGTCAGTGGCGACACTGCCAATAAAATTTCAGACACTAATGGAGATAAGAATATAATAGATAATCTATCAAACTCGTCATAATTGTCGTCTACTGAATACAATAAATTACCGTTTGAAATTTGGAAAACATTCAACCCTTTCTGGATGTCCGACGGATATGTTTATGTTCTGTAAAGGGTTAATATAGGGCTACGTAAACTAACTAATTTTATTTAAGACTGAAGTTACTTTATAATTATATATTACCAGTTATTTTTCAAACAACTTTTTTTTTTTTATTGTAATTAGTATTTTAGCTGCGTGTTGGATAAATATTGTCTATTGGAACATATATATATATACAAAATATATGTCTTGTTAAAACGGGTGGGTGAATACTTATTTTTCAATATATTTATATTTATATAAGTAGGGAACTATATTTTTATACTTACCTTTTATTATTTGTAACGGATCCAATGTTAAATTTATTGTAGTTTTTGTAATTTTGTTAGTTTATAAGTTATCCATAATGTTGGTAGACGGAGTAAAAAAATATAATTTATATGATTAAACTGTTAAAAATGTATGGAATAAATATATTTATATACAAAAAATCTAGTACTTCCTAGTAAAGACTTTATAGACAAAAATCCTTTTTTTAACATAATTTTTCACGACCAATTTGGTAAAAATATGATTATTTTAAATATTTCGACAATTTGCTCTTGACAAAGTAAATCTAAATAAAATTAAATGTTAAATACTCGAACAAAGCAGTGACACCAATGAAAATTAAAATATATTGAAATATTGGTAAAGATTTACATAATATTAGATACAATATTTTTTTCGGTAATCTTATTATTTTAAACAACAATAAAAATGTATATTTTTTTATTTTTCCTAAAAATCTGTTTTTGCTAATGTACTTGTTTTTTAATGATTTCCCTAATTTTAATTTTTTTTCTGATATTTCAGAGAACATAAAACCGTTTTTCTAGGAATGTTATATTTTTTTATTATAGTAAATTATGAAAATCTACACAAGTTGTGTAACGAGTTACTCGTATTATTTCGTTAAAAAAGTCCTAATTGGTAATTGAATTTTTATGGAAACGGCCAATGCGGTTAAGTTGTGAAAACAAATTATTATATTATTATTATCGCCGTGTTGGGAATTCGCATTGGGTTTTCGCTCGTCCGACGAACGGGTTGAACCGTTAAAATGTTCATGAAAAGTGCCGGATAAACTTGTATATACCAACACATATGCATTGTGCGTTATCGTTTAATACGATCGTTGTATAAGTACGGTTTTTCACATCCTTTATCGGCTGTAATATTTTCACGATTGTTCTGATGGTGTTTTACGGAGTAAGTGGTATTTATGATCAGCTGTTTACATCGGATTTCATAATTGAGGCGCCTAGTTTCAAAACCAGCTACACAATTTTTGAAAATTTTCACAAAACAACAAATAATTTCTTTAGATAGAACCAACCAAGATTTTCAAACAAACGCAGCTCTAGATAAGACCGTAGGCTTTGATTTAAAAATGGTCCTACAGCCCTACTAAAAAGCTCCCAATAGGTTAATTTATCCGCTGAAATGGTTAATATTTTCAATTTATAAAAAATACCAGTAGGTACAGGCTACTGGGAAATTTTATAACTGAAACTGATAAAATCACTTTCAAATAAACGCTTCGATTTAGATGAACATTATAACGACAATAATGCGCTGAAAATTGTATCCTTAGTATAAGGGTGGATACGATAAGGGTTGATCGTCTATGTATATGATTATTTGTTTCCATTGTATCCAATATTGACAACACAATAAACTACTTCTGAATGTATAGATGGTATAAGTATCAAATATCTATGAAAATGTGTTTAAAATTGTATTTCAATTTATTTTCTGTTAGGTTAGGTTGGGTTAGTTGCTATTGTTAGCAATGGGCAATATCACATCAACGATATAATGAAAATATTTTCAAATACTAGCAATTGATTGTTGATTCACACACACGCGTAGCAACCTAGAAAAGGTCAAGTGTAATTGTCCCGTTTTTTTGGTTTTCCCTTAGTAAAAAAAAAAAGTTCGACTACAGTAAAAAACGTATAGGATTGTAGTCCTACTCTCTAGATCTACCACGAGTTTAATTTTAAGACTTTAAATACTTAAGTCTAAAACTAATCCTAAAAAGTCGAATTAAAGAATAAACCCCTTTTGGGGTAAAGGGCTTATGATTTTTTTTTTTTTGGTTTGTCAATGTTTGTTGACAGTACTCTAAAGACGACTTGCCACATGAAAAAATAAGTTAATTTTTTTAATGATATCGTGAGTGATACAAAAAAATATTACCTTCTCAGCTCCACATCAGGGCTCTCAAAACGAAAACTATTGGATTCAACGCAAATCATAGGCAACATTTTTACAAATGTACTATTTTGTTTTTTTACCATTTTAAAATATTTACAAATTAACATTTGAAAAAAGGCAAAATTTGAATTTGCTTAGGTTGAAAGTTGAAAGTATAACTTTCTAGCATCGGTTCTGATTCGACTGCAAAAATATAAATAATAATATTATATCTTCTCAAATTTCAGAAAAAATCGTGGCATTGCCGTTGTACTTATACGAGATGAAATAATTCAAAAAAGTTCAACTACAGTAAAAATGTAATTCGAGTGAAGCGTTTTAGGGCTTGTGAGGTTCCCTTTTTTTAGCTCTAAGCCAAAATTCTTAACATATGTGTAGACGGCCCTGGATAAACCGGCTACCGTCTTTTTCACAAATAAGTTCAACGCAATGTAATTCGAATTTTTATTGACATAGTAGTATACGGTTTATATGGTAAGTCATTTTTGAAAATATTACATCACATTTGAATTTGAACAACATCAATGTATTAAAGTTAAATAAAAAAAAAAGTAAATAAAATATATAACAAATATAAAGCAAACGGCGTTTTTTTTTTTTTTTTGTAAAGAAATATCGACGGAAACATTATTAATATTGTTTGTTTTACGCGGTTTTCGGTTTTTTTACTTTGTTCGGGGTTTGATTTGACGGTAAAAAGCTGAACGAAGAAGATCTAATTTCATTACTATAAGTACTAATATTATATTATAATAATATATCGTCATAATATGTACACGTCGTGTTTGAGCCGCTCACGGTTGGTCATGCGGCCCACGGTCAAGTTTAGAATACTTGAACTCTGTGGTTTTCTCGGTCGCACACAAGTATGTTGCCGTTGGACATGACAGCGATGCCCTCAAGACCTTTGAATTCGCCGTCTCCCGATCCCCAGCAGCCAAACGCCCGCAGGAAAGTGGAATCCGGATGGAAAATCTGTATCCGGTTGTTGCCAGAGTCGGCCACCAGGATGTATCCTTGATCGTCCACGGCTACTCCCCTGCAAGTCACATAAACAATTTCCGTTAATTTCCGTTATAATTCTCTAAATCTATAAACACATGTAGTCTTTTCCTCTCTCCCCTATACTTTTCTACATACAAGCTGTCTCGCTTCTAATACCTGTTTCGTTGTCGATTTCCTAGGCATAAAACCAACCAAACTGCGGTTTCGACACAAGAAGAACAAATACAACAACACATTCTCCTTTTTTTTTTTTGGGGGGGGGGGGGGTAGGAGGGGATAAGGTTAGCCCGGCAAAAATCTTAGGTAGTCAAAGCGACCTGAAGCAGGTTTCCTTCGGTGTAAATCACACCGTTGAGTTCTCACGCTTACTATGTGGCCACAATCTCCTATCTTATTATTTACATAAACTTAAACTCGATGTCTTTGCCCCGAACGTTTTCTGCCCATGTATATTTGATGGTTACAACGCTAAGCACGTCTCTTGTTCACAGCGTTTCGTTAATTCCACGTTTTTAGATTTAATTCAACCACTTTAGTCTATACGTACTTGACACTTTTCCGTATCCCAATGGTTCATTGTTAATGTGTTGTTGTATTTACTTTTGACCCATTAATATTTCACTGCTTGCGAAACGCATTGTAATAGTTAAATTAAGCGCAATAATCATTTCCCTTTCCACGGTTAAAAAAGTAATTCACACTGAGCCGCCCGATTATTATTGTCCGTCAACCCTGGTGGGCTGTTATACGAACACGGTGTAAGCATGAAGTACTTGAAACTTACTTTGGGAATTTGAACTGTCCATTTTCCGATCCTTCGGAACCGAACGAGCTGATCACTCTGCCGTTAACGTCAAATATTTGAACACGATGATTGTTGCAATCCGAAACGATCACTCTGTTGGTATTGGACACGGCTATGTAGTGCGGATGTTCCAGCTGTCCGATTTTATTACCTTGCGAACCGAATTTGCCCACAAACGTCCCGTCCGATTGAAACACCTACAGCGCAAACACGTTTAGAATTAAATAAAAATCATTTATCAACACTAATGGATATAACGGATCTTGCGCTAGTGTCCGGGGGCTGCTCCGAATCGCTTTTAACTAACCCACACACGCTATTGAATTCGGTTAAATCTATTTTAGAGATAACAAAAAAAGTGTCGTTAGGTACGCGCGGCGTGTTGACATTTCATGGAACCGGAGAGATAAAAGTATCGACAGCAGGACTAGCCGAGCATTACACCGACGTCATCTAAACGGGATCGACGTGCTTCACAGGCCAGTCGCCACGTGATAGATTGACCGCGAACACCAATATTAAGTACATTGCAGCTGTTGGTGATACATGTTTAGAAGGGAAAAGAATCGTGTGCTGAATGGTGTTTGCACATCGGCTAGGTTAGATTAGGTTTAGATTACGATTTAATTTTCTCTCACTTGAATTCTGTGATTTTCTTTGTCGCACACATATATAAACCCAAGGGCGTCCGTAGTGATGCCCCAGGGGTAGTTGAATCGACCGTCGCTCGAACCTTGACTTCCGAATGACCTTAAAAATCTTCCGGATGGATCCAGGACCTAGAAGAGCAAACAGGGAGCGTAAAATTATATTATTTCATTCGGTGCCGGCAGCGATAATGTGATTTACCTGTATCCTGTGGTTGTATCGGTCGGCGATAATAAACTGTCCGATTCGGTTCACAGCCACTCCGGCCAAACAGTCGAATTCACCTTCGCCATTGCCGTACGATCCAAAGTCTTTGAACAGACTTCCACGACTATCAAACACCTGACGGTCGAACGCATATGGTTAGGTTTTAGTTTCATTGGAATCTTGTACATTTTTTTAAACTTAAACCGTTGATTTTAAAATATATACAGATAAGTTTGCGGGGCCACCAATTTTAAGTCGATGCACCTCTGAAGCATTGAATTAGCTCTCAAAATAAATATAATTTAATTGGCTGCTCCTAATAACAAGTGGTTCTCAAAATATACTTTATATACACAGTGCTAATTCAGTTTAAAATTATCTAATCATTGCTCACCGATTTTATTTATCGCATCCAATTATCTACAATTGATATCTAAATTAACCTTATCAGACCCAGCAACATTTTTTGTTAAAAAAATTTTTTTTTTCAATTTTATGTTTTATTGTAATCTATATAAAACGTACAAAATATTTTTAAAAAAATTTTACAATTATCTTGTAAAATTCTTGCTAGTACACTATAGTGTACACTAGGTCTAAATGGATGTTACTATGGATAAATAAATGTATTTATTTATTTATTTAAAGTCGGTACACTATAGTGACCCGGGTGTCTGATAAGGTTAATATACAATAATTTAAATGTACTGTATTGTGTATATGCTGATACTATAATTGCTGTAAGAAGCTCTATATATAGGAAGTCTCACAGATAAAATACAATTTTTAGAAAATCAAATTGAAAAGTATGATGCACTGGAGAAATATCTAGATTTCATTACATACAAAATATATAAACTACGAAGAATTTAAATTCATTTTAATATCCATAAATGACATAAGGTAATGACGATATAATGCCTATTCCATTTTTAAAATTCTTTTCAGTTTATAGAACTTTTATTACAAAATCTATAAAATATGACTAATTTGTAAACATAATGTGGAGGGAGCCAATTCAATAATATCGCTATAAGTAAAAATATTGGCTGGTGGTATGCACGAGATCGGCGACCGATTTTATGCGGAATTCCCACCGTCAACCGAGGTACCACCCTCCCCTCATAGTTTATGGACGGGTGGATAACGAGGGTACCTCTGTTGACGGTGGGAATCCCACGTGAAATCTGTCACCGTTCTCGTGTATACCATCAGCTTATCTGTACAATATTTGAAAACCAATGGTGAAACGTACTTGGACCCTGTGGTTCGAGGAGTCCGCCACGACGATGAGGTTGTCTGGACCGACGGCGACGCCTCTAGGCCAAGTGAAATATCCGGGCTCGCTCCCCCGGCCTCCGATTTTGAATAACAATTGTCGTTTTTGCAGGTACTGCACTCTAGGGGTAGAACCTACGCCCTGGATACCTGTAACGCACCGGGCCAATTAGTGATTACCTAGAGATTTGGCGCGTTTAGCAAACATATCCGTCACGGCCTGACAGCCACAAACCCACAAATTATCTGTCCGCGTACGCACCTGGTTCGATAATTGTACGGGAGGTGGGGGAGCTTTGCATGTTTTTTTGGTCGTCGTCTGAACTGTCGGCAACCGTGGAATTTGATCGCGATCCTAATCCCATTGACAGACGTCTTGAGGCCGAAGACGAGCCCGATGGCGAACTGGCAGAGGCAGCGCCGGAGGAGGAGGATGGCCCGTTGTCTTTGGCCGCGTTATCTTTGCTACGGTTTCCGTATTTGTTTTTCAGATACCTCGCCCACGAGCTCAACGATCCGCCGTCTTTGTCTCCGGGTCCTGTACACAATACACAAGCAAACATTAGGACACCGTATTTTTTCCCCACCCCGTTAAATGTTTTCGTTCTAGTCGTCAGGTCGATACAGCATACGATTTACAAGCTCACGGTCACTGTTAAATTGCTTTTCAAGTGGTTACTATTCGGTTTTAAATTAAGGGACAAAGCCGGTGTCGGCCAAAACCCAAAGATACATACACGGTGTTCGGGGGTCGGTTGTTTAGTATGTGCGTGTATGTGTGTAATTTGGTGGTTGACCGATCTGCAATACCTGATGAACTGGTTAGAGGCCTATCGGGCGAGGTTTCACGCGATTTTAGAGCGTGACTGGACCGACTTCTGGATAAGTCCGAACCGTAGTGGTTTTTAGAATACGACGAGGAGTATGGAGAAGTAACGGGGTCGTCCGGCTGGTCTTCATCTAGGTTAGCGGTGGTCCTACTCCGTAATAACCCCTTGTCATTGTATTTGCTCTCACTGCCGTAACTCGACTTGCTAGGGTCCTCTTCGATAGGTTTATTTTTTAAAAATCTGCTAGTGAACCGTGGAGCGGTTCTGTTCAGGTACTTACTACCGCTGGAGGCCGGTTCGGGTTCCTTGGGGCTCTGGTACGACGACGACGACTTATATCCGCCAGTGCCGTACCTGAGAACGGATACGAATCGAGTGTTAAACCTAAATAATGTAATATGATATTATAACGTTTAATCGAATTGTGTGTTTACCGCGATCTAGTGTAGGTTTCGTCTTGGCTGGGTCTTCTCGAACTGCTGTTGCTGCCTCCACTCCCGTTATCTCTAGCGTTAGCACTTCTGGCCAACAGCGGGCCAATATCCGTTTTATCCATTGCTTTAGGCGCTGGTGTTTTGGGTTTAGCTTCTTCAGAGTCTTCATCAGATTCAGATTCGGACGATTCTGAAGACGTATCCGTGTCTTCCTCTTCTTCTTCTTCGTCTTCTATTTCTTCTTTTTTGGCTGCACCATCTTTGTTACCTAAAACGTTTGTTATTATGATTTAGTATCTGTTGTATTTAGTCATTACATCGAATAATACAAGATTTATTTATTTATGCTTGTTTATTGACAATATTCATTTAATAAAACAAAATCGGCAGTTAGAATTACAATTACGCGGACCAGATTTAATAGACTTTTATTTACAACAGGCGTTAAAAATTAGTGATAAATAATAGTATACTTTAATAGTAAAAGCTATGAAGTTTTTGAGAAATAAAGCACTAAAGCAAGTTAATGTACATCATGGTTCACTTACCATGAATTCGCACTATTCAGTATTTATTTTTTTCATTTACCTACATTTATGTATAGAGAAAAGCTGTGTATAAAATATTTAAATAATTATATTATATTTAATAATAATACAATTTTTTTCAAAAACGTAGTTTTGGTTATTAGTATTCAAGTATCATGAACTTGGATCCTTTTTACAAAAAGCAATAAATGTATGTAATTATGGTACTTGAAATTGTTTAGTTTATGGAGTAAAGAAATAAAAAAGACATTTTTATACCACAAAACAAGTTTTATTAACTTCTTAAAAAACAATGCCTTAATATAAAAAAATTAACTTTTATTAAAAATATATTTGAACATGAAGCGATTTCTTTTTCAAAAAATATTTTTTCGACGAATACTTCGCTAACGTTTAACTTCAGTTCCTACCTACTAGATAATTTTGAACAGTGTTGTTATTTATCTATTTAACAGTACTAACTACTATGTTTGTATGCTATCGATGTGATTAGAAGTATACACACTTTTATACACAACAGATGTTAATTTCAGTGTTGCTTTTTTAAAAAATATTATTTCTTTTATTATATAGTTTCAAGAAATATTATTGATCAAACGATATAAGACAATCAAACTGAATATAAAGTATTTATGTTTTCAAACTAGGTAATTTTTGTTATTAGTGTATAATGAGTCTATTTTAATTTTTAAGAAATTGAACTAAAATATACGATAATGTTATTACCACAATTTATTTTCGTTATAACATGAAAACATTTTGTAGAGCACACAAGGAAAATATTTAATTATTGTGTATGTCTAAGAATCAATATAACCATAAAGATAAGGAAAAGTGATAGATATTTTGATGTATTACCAGTGACGCTGTAACTTTGACTCCTTGAGTTAGTTGGTGTGGCTGAGTCTCTTTTCGAAGACACCGAAGAGAAACGAGCACGTGGTGTTGCACTTCCTGATCTTGAACCGGCCGGCGATTGCTTAGCCTCTTCCGTAGGATACGTTACTCCCGCATTTCTTCGCACTGGAGTTCCTGGAGTTCCTGGAGTTCCTGGAGTTTCAGATGAACCAGAACTTTCAATACTCTCTGACCTAGCAGATTTTATTTTCTGAATATTACCTGTATTAAAAAAAAAAACAAGAATGAGCACTTGACTTGACAAAGTATTGTATATTTTTTTTATCATATGATTATATTTAATATTATATTGAGTTTCATTTTGATCAGTGCTACAAATCGTAATGATTTATATTGTTTACATTATTATGTACCTGATGTTGCGGACGATCGTCTCGATCCGGCTGCAGAAGAGGATGTCGGTGGAAATCCCGGTTTGCTAACCGGTGTTGTTTTTCTGGGTTCTACTACTTCTTCTTCGGATTCACTCTCGGATGATTCGATATTTTCAGCCTAAAATATAAGGCATTTATGTATCAAATTGTAATAACGTTCAAATGTTTTACTCACAGGTTCGGGCACTGGTGTTTTTCTTGAGGCATCCGAAGATGATCGGTTGGAATCCCTGGAATCGTCTCGTTTGATCACACTAACTCTGTCTCTTCGTTCCGTATCTGAAGAGGTAGAAGCGTTTTTGTTTTGTCGTTTGATTCTCGCTATTTCGTCGTCCTCACTTAATTGGCGCTGAGGCGTTTGTTGTGGTGACGATTTTTTTATTTGCTGAACTTGTTGTTGCATTTGTAGCTGCACTTGTGGTTTGGGCGCAACGTCCACTTTCTTTTCTTTGTTTTCGTTTTCCTGTAGCCTTTTCATCACTCTGGGTGAGTCGTACAACCTCGTGATACCGCTCAACGGGCCCTTGGCCACATCTTCGGTGTCCAAAACACGTTCTCGTTCCCGATGGACCGTGTTCGTGTCCGAGAAACGAACTGACCGCGAGTCCGTATCCGAATCCGTGTTATCTCCTATGCCGTGTCTGTTCAATCTGGATCTGATCCTGGACCTGGCAGTGCTTCGGTTTTCGTTGTCGTGGGAAGAGTCCACGTCATAATCACTCCTGTCCCCACGGGCGTATCGTGCTGGATACCTCTCACCGAATTTCCTGCCTCCGAGGGGCGACACTCTTCCTCCTATCTCGCCACCGGGCTCGTACGCGTTCCTGTCTTCTTGGCGGAACTGGGAAGCCAATCGGTGATCACTTTTGGATCGCATGAGACCCGGACCGGGAGCTTGAAGCATGTTCGAGCTGGCCGAAAACGGTTGATGAGGAGCTTGAATAGACAAATCCCCGTAACCGGCAACGTGCATGACCAATTGGTTGGGGTCGTGAGCCATGATGAATTTTGCTTTTCTGTTGTAATCCCCAATGTCCGTCTCGAAGTTTCTGATGAAATCCACGGTTTTCAAGAATATTTCTTTGGCGTCCATAAGCTCGCTATCGTCCCATTCCACATCGTCGGACTGCATGTATTTATCGGCCAGATCGCAGTTGCTTTGGATGTTTGAAATTTCTATGTCTAGGTTTTCTTTGAGGTTACACAGGTTTTTTAGCTCCGTCGTCAGATAACGGTCTATTTCGCCGCGCAGATGTTCAGTGCGGTCTTTTAAAGCTTTAGACAGCCTCCGGTAGATCTCGTCCACTTCTTCGGATACTGAAGTGCAGTTTAACTGCAAAGTTAGCATGTTTTTCTCAACGCCAGAAAGCATGTCTGATAGTCTGTGTACGGCTCGTCTCACCTGTGTACGACACAAGGTTATCGTTTAACAAGTATACATTTTGGGTTATAATCAAATATTGTGTAGCGTTGAAACATACCTGGTTATTAATTCTAGATATTTCTCTTCTCAATATATCCATGTGGGCGCCTTTGCAGTCGGTACACACTTCCTTGTCGCAATGCACACAGGGCATGACGTACGCTTTTTCCGAACACACCCCGCAGCGTTTCATCACTTGCCCGCTTGTCGGATCTGGAAGTTCTCCAGTGATCTCGATGTGGAGCTCCAAAAAACGCTGTAAAGTAACGTTTGTCGGATATCCTTGGACGCCGTTGTACGGTATCCTGTGTTCGGCACGACATTCTGGACATTTTACCTATTTAAAAAAAACAAATTATAACATACTTGTCTTGTCGGTGTTATCGTGCGCATAATTACTTGTCTGCGGACGTAGTCGACCAAACCGTCCATGCACGGTTCCATACAAAAGGAATGTTGGCATGGCAGCAGCTTTGGATTTCTATACCTGTCCAAGCAAATGGCGCAGGTCAGCAGTTGCTCGAACTGCTCCATACCGCGACTTGTGATTATTCGTGAGCTTTATACTGAAACAAAAGTTTATCCGTAAATCAAATGGAGATTTTTGGTTGGGGGGGGGGGGAATTGCATCACATAAGCGTATGTACAGTGTCTTAACAGAACGACACGAAAATACCATTATCCCTAAGTATCTCCCGGCCGGTTCATTTGCTCTCGCCCGGCAAGTTTATACAATTTTACATTTATATTAATTTTGCGTAGGTATATATACTACATATATTTAAAATAGTTCACATTACACCCTACCGTAGAGCCTGCCACGCGTTTACCCAATGGAAATACATTTCCCGGAGGCGAATTATAAACTACCGCGCGTGCCCTTTAGAATATTATTACTTACATACTTATATGCTTACTCGTGGTGGAAATATTGCAAACGAGGCTGCACTATTGCAATGCGGGTTATCGCGTATAACTTCCGACACTGGTATATTTTTAGAGTAGCACACGGTCCGGCGTCGAATAAGTCACTGAAAGACCGACCATGTAATAATATATTCCGTAGATGCGATTAGTAAGTGACTATAAATAGACCCGCGCCGGTCGAGTGAATCCTACGTCGGCCGTCAACTTGTCGCATCCCGTCGGGATGGATTTATGTAGTTTTTTGTGAGCGTGCTGTTTATATGTACGTTGTCAAAACAAAAGAATTAAAAAAACAACAAATTTCGCAACCCTGTGACTGACACGAAAAATCTATTTGGGAGAAATTTGGCTCGTGGCGGCAGCGACGCGGTTGTTTAACGCTCGTGTGAACGCCGCCGTTCTTGTCTACGGTATTTTTGGCACCGTCGTGAGCGTTAGAGATAAATATATATATATATATATATATATATATATATATATATATATATATAATACATAATATGTATAATATGATGTGTTAGACAGACTCCAAAAAATTCTTTTTTGCTACTCCCCGAATCGTTTTTGTTTGGCGAAAAGAAGAAAGTTTTTCAAAATTTCAGCCTTCCAGGCAACAGTCTGCCCTCCTAAAGAGAAACGCAGTAAACCCCAAATTTAAAAAATTGAGGTTGTTACATAAGCCGGGTAATTGGATAACTCCGCGTTTTTTTTCCTAATGTGAAACGCAGTAAATCTACTAGAAATGTCTTTAAAAGTGATTATAAAATGCAAAAAAAATAGACCTAAGTTTAAAACAAAACTTTCAAAAATATGCATAACTATTATGACTAATAATCAATGCAAAAAAAAAGTGAGGGTAGGTAATAATTTCAAAAATAAAAAATCAAATTCATTTTCTCAACAATTTTATTTTTAGAGATATTGCATGTCTCTTTAGGAGGGCAGAATTTATTTTTAAGTGGTTTCCATAGAAATTAATATTATGAGGAAATAAATTCCCAATGAATTAAAAAGTAAAAAATGTATTTTATATTTAAATTGTCGCAACATCAAAACTTTTAAACATTTTTTAAATTAAAAAAAAGATTCACTTGACATTTGATGTTAATTTTTGTTGATAGAAAAAAACCGTAATTAAATTAGAAACAACGGTTTAAATATATATCTAAGTACTTACACTTTTATAGTCATTGTTTATAGTCGATTGTGACTAACTATAAGTCATTTAAACCAATTTAAAAAAAAACAGAGGAAAACTGTTATATAATAAATTAAATTTTATCAATTAAATTTTGAAATGTTTAAAATGATTTAAAATGTTTAGTTTAATATTCAAAGAAAAATAACTCTGACAGATTTAAAATGTAAAAAAGTGCAGATCAGATGTAATAACTGCTAAGATAAATTTAAATGTTTTGAAAATATTTTTTATTGATGAAACGCGTATTATTGTTTTAAGTTATTTTCGGTCAGTTAATTTTTACCATTACCCAGAATATTTATTAATTTACATGGCGAGTATATTAAGCGTGTAAGAAAAACATCTATTTATGTAATTTACAAACCTAAAAATCTCGATATCATTAAAGACCGTAAAAGTGAATTACACTTAAGTGTAAAGAGTAATTATTTAGAAACACGTCTTAAATAATAATGCATTTGCGAATGACGCACGAATATTTTTGACCCCGTCGTTTGAATTTTTAGGGACCTAAGCGAAATAAAAAAATATTGAAAACCGATGGCTCGTCAGTCTGAGGTCGAAGATAATGTGAAAAAAAACCGAATCGTCGTTCGAACAGAACCGGAAATATTAAAAGGACAGAGATTTGGAATTTAAAAAAATATATATAATAAATGAATAATAACCCCGTTCCCGCTGTTACCCATGGACTGCATTAGCAATGTTTAATAATTTCTTTAGTTGATGAGCCTGTGGGAATCGGTGCAGCTGCCAGCATGTTTGCTCTCACCCGGAGACTACTTCCGTTATTGACAACGACGTTGTACCCTGTCGTGTCCTCATTTCTTTCACATCTCTCTTTCCTCGTCCAGGACCTTAGCCCTTAGTTTAGCCCTTGTTTAGCCCTTAGGTACACCGGGTCCAGTATTGAAAGCAACACGATATTCTATAAATGCATGAATTTTCACATAAAATTGTTTTAGTGTGAAATTGCGTACTAGAATTTTAGGAAACATAAGAAAAATATTTTTTTTTTTTGCAATATTCAGAAAATTTAGTCAACATTTTGGCATAGGCCACTAATGACCTTCCACGTAATAACCAAAATTTGGCACGGCTCACTGATGACCTTCCATGCAATAAAGTTCACTTTAATACCATGTAAAAAATAGATTTTTATTAAATATCTAAAATAATATAGCACAATAATAAAATGGCATAAAAATGTTTTGTAAAATTAGAAATTATTATACGTTGTAAAATTGTACATTACGTGGAAGGAGTCCATTTTCACCAACATTTCAAATTAAAATCAAAGAGAGTTAATAGTATTTGATTGTCAAAGAGATTGTAGATGTATACATAATTTTTCTTTTGAGATAGCACTTTTACAATTACACAAACTTAATTTTGAGAATCCCTCTTTTTCTATAAGCCTGTCCGCTCCGGATTATACAGCTTAAGCCAAAGGTAAAGCAGAATATACTAATTTGTTTTATTTATAGCGCATATACTTGGCAGTTTAATGTTTAGCCGTCACATTTAGGTATAAATGCTAAAAATGATACACTGTTTTTAAATCACAGTTAAAACGTTTTAGTATTAATTATAATAATATCTAAATGTTTTTTGAGATGTTATGATAAAAACAAAAATTGGTGGCTTTGTTTTTTTTTATTATTATTTAAACGATGACGTCCGACAACGATTCTGTGTTACGTTCGAAATTGCTTAAAATACAACGGTAAATATAATATTTAAAATCAGTTATAAATGCGCATTTAAAAGTTTCACACAATGAATAGTTGTTTTTTTTTGCGTTATAGTTTATTTATTCGTTTTTAATTATTATTATTGCAATTATTATTATTACTCTTTTAATAGAGTATGGCCTGAGTAAAATGAACATAATTTTGTAGGATAGTACAGGCGAAAAAAGCCTTTCAAGATAAAAGTCACGTATTAACTACAAAGAGCGTCAGATAGTAAAAAATAAATTCCTAAAAATCTATTTATTGAGTGTGACACTGTTTGGCTGCGAAACCTGAACAATTAGCTTAGTAAAAAAAAGTAAATTGGAAATGTGGTGCTTTAGGAAAATGCTCAAGATCCCATGGACCGAGAGGATTACAAATAAAGAAGCACTAGATTAGACCAAAATTAGATCTAGAAACGGGCTAAACATATACAATTTTCTCAAAAAACTGTAGTCTACATTTTTTTTATCAAGGAAAAAAAAAAGGAAAAGTTACACTTTGACCGAAGTCAATTTCTAGGTAGCTATGTGTGAGTGAATCAACAGTCAACAGGTATTGACAATATTTATTTATGAGCTACTAAGCACATTACTTATTTTTTTGAAAGAGATTTTTGTTGTAATAATTCATATCGACCTGTGACCTATCCCGTCCCAATATCCTTGGTCTTCACCGTGCCTTGCACCCACCGCATTAGACATTTTATGTATAATTTTATTGGAATAGTTCATAGTTTAAATCTCTAGCCAACAACATTGTCCGTCTGTGTAAAAAATGTGTGTGGCTTTGCGCGCCCTCTCATGACGACAACAACTGTTTAGATGGAATGTTTTGTTTGCACGTTGCAGACTATTGGTTTTTGTCTTTTGACTGTCGACGGGCTTTTTTGGCAAAGAGCGAAATAAAAAACCAAGACTCGAACGTTTCGCGTTTATTATAAATACTTTAGACAAACGTGTCTCCATAAATAATTTCAGCCACGGCGAAACCCACGTACCATATTATTGTAAGTCCGATACACACGAATTTGCGTTATGGTCGTCTCGTATATCGTGTATTTCTCAAGGTGCATCTTATCTATGTTTTCCCGTGTAAGAAGTACATTGTTATTGCTACGACGTTTTACGTGTTCACATAATTTCGTCGTTAATATAAATATGTAACGTTCCGGGACAGCACCGATAAATATTATTGTCGTCCATGTTTTATTTATCAGGTTCGAATTGAACGTGCTGTGCCAATTTAAAAGTTTTTTTTTTTTATTGGCCTTAGTCGAGTTTCGGAAACCCATTGTCGCGTCGCCTTCGAAATATGATCATCAATAAATAGGCGTCAGCTGTGTGTCAGGCGCTCCCAATTAGTGTGTTCCACTGTTCTTACAAAATGGACAATATAATATTTAGATATTATAAAACAAAGTTTAAACAGCACACTTAAACTTCTAACCATACTAGTGAGAATGACTCTGAGTAAATTACAATAATTATGTAATTATGCCCAAACACATCCGAATATCGAGAAACCTAGCCTTGAAAAAATTTTTACAAATTAATTATACATATATATTAATTAAAAATGTAAGTCTTAGTAACGAATTATTACCAGTTGTAGAATAAAATAATCAAAATTAAGTGGTCTTTTCCCCTTTATAAAATATTATTATATTCATCAAGCTTTCATTTAAGTGTTTTGTTCTGTA